CACACTGCACTTTCTATACGGTTAGACCCCACACTGCACTTTCTATACGGTTAGACCTCACACTGCACTTTCTATACGGTTAGATCCCACACTGCACTTTCTATACGGTTAGACCCCACACTGCACTTTCTATACGGTTAGGCCCCACACTGCACCTTCTACATGTTCGACCCCTCGGAACTGTAGAAAGCAGCCGGCAGCGCAGCCCCAGGACTAGGTGAGGGTGTGAGTACTAAGTGTAACTGTCTGAGAAAGCAGTCTTTCTTGGAGCAGCAGGACATCCTTTCTTAGAGTGGTAATCAAACATAAGCTACAAGGTAAACACTGCTAACACAATTAGGCCCCACTGTTGAATAAAGAGAGGAAAATGTTACTGACAGATTTAAAAACATTTAATAGTCTTTCTATAAATCCAAATGTGACTCTTACATGTTATGTGCCACATAAAGCAGGTGATACTGAGAAGCAGCACTGAGGTATTCTTTATTTTTAAAATTGAAGGAAACAAAGTTTGGGTCTAATTATTTTGACATTAAAAACAAAAACAAAAGAGAAACATTGCTACTGCTTGGCTCTTTTGCTGTAGTTTTTGATTCTGAATAAAACACTATGGAGGAGAGCATGGAACATGAAGATTTGAAGTAAAGCTGTGCTCATACAGCAAGAGGCCTGAGTGAAGGCATGCTGGTAACAGTTTTACTTCTTAAAAGGGTAACTTTGACAACCAAGTATAACCAATTGTATCAAACGCAATTAAAATAGCCATATTCAGCTGGTAGTAAGAATCCACATTTTATTCAATACTGTATTTCCAACGTAGCTTATGAAAACCAGGGAACCTAATACAGCACCACTGAAACCATTCATTATCTGTTATGCTTCTGTGGAGTTTAGGGTTTTGGCAAAAGGATAATGCCTAAAAGAATGCCAGTCTTTTTTAATAAATTTATTTCAATTAAATGTTTGCTTTGTGGGGATCACTAGCCATATGCATCTCTCCCTTTGGAGCTGGAAAGGATGAGCTACGTCTACTCTTGTTTTAATTTAAACCCAGAACCAAGCAGTAAGGACAGCAATGTTAAGAACAGCAGAGCAAGAACCACATGGAACAGCAAAGAATCTGGTGCATGTTTATACAACCACTAAGTGATTTAACAAGTTTACAAAGATAAGACTTATATATTTTTTGCACTCACTGGTTTTAAAACAGCACTAATTTAACTCGTCTTTGGGCTTCAATCTTTACACAGGGTGAATATGAAGGTGCTATACTGGAGCTTTCTCCAACTTAAACCACAGTAAAATAGATTTCAGAATAATTTTAGAATGGTTTCATTTCCGGTCGCTGTGGCTGACACATCCATTGCTTAATAAGGGACTTTTGGGCAATGTTTTTGCTTGAAGATGATTGTCTACTACATTAATTTAAAGATAAGAGCTTTTCCTATATTTTAGCTCTGTAGTATTCTTAAAACCATTGCCAGCAATCAACTTGAACCAGTACAGGCCAACTCAAAACAAACCATTTGAATGTTATTTTTTAAAGCGATGTCACAGTTTGTTTTCTCTGATTTAGAAGCATGTATCTAAAAATGGTATTTTTTTCAATTTACCTTCATCAGAGTTAAATACCTTTTACATAATTAAACTCAATTCATGTCTGACTGTATTTTAATTACTGTTCTCCAAGGGGTCCCTGTGAGCTAGACCCTACCTATGGGACTCCAGAGCCACAATGAGAGTGCTAACGGAGGACTCATACCAGTTCATGTGGGCAGGAAGGATTGTCACATAGCGAGCGAGGCCTCCCATGTTCAAGTACCACTTTACTTCCATAGTACTGGCTATGGAAGACTGAAAGATAACCAACTTTTTAAAGAGTTTTCAATGTGCATACATTGTCCAACTATATGTAAGGACTCGGTATGTGGCTCTAATGATGACAGCCATTAAAAGACACTATTTTGCTAGCATTTCCTCAACTGGGCAAAACAAAGGCAACATCAACATGTGCCCGTGGTTCTTTCATGCTGGCCTCTGGCTGTGGGGAAGAAACTGTGGAAAGTGCCCATGACACACAGAAGGCACCAGTGACACCGGGCAAAGGGGGAGCGGTGACACAGACAGAGCAGAACTGAAAGGAGCTACCTTTGACCATGTTTTCCTAAACAGTTCAGAGCAGGAGGGCAGCGCAGGGACGGACGCCCAGGGTGACCTGCCACTGCCATCCTGATGGACAACAGTGTCCAATTATCTGGAGAGCCAGTTCTCCAGGGAAAACCAAACTGACCATAAATTAAATACAGGAGACCAATTGTAGAGATACAAATATAAATAAATACACAGCCATTTTATTTAAGAAACCCGAGATCTGCGTTGGAAACGAGTTCCTTCAGCCTGCTAAGTTCTCCATAAATACTTCCTAGTGATTGTCGTTAGTTCAGCACCTCAGGGTTTGCTGGTGTGTTGATGGGATCCCAACAGTCTCCACAAACTACACAACTACAAGTTATTTCACTAGAGCCTCTTCCCGGGAAAGCCCGGGCAGCTTACAAAGGATTGTTAAATACTCGTCTTTCAAAGTATTCTTTCGGAAAAACAAGGAATGTAGTGTTATGACAACGGAAAAAATATGCAAAACAGTCACGTGGAAAAACAGAATTTTAATTTTTAAATATATAAGTTTGCTTAATTTCTGGTGAGTTGTTCAACACTGTTTTAAATATCCTGAATTAGTAACTATACCAACAAAATTGACCTCCAGTGTTTCCACAGGAGACATTAAGATAAGACCAAATTATAGTTTTCTTCAACCAAAGCAGTCTTTCTCAGTCCTTTTTGTGCAAAAACATTACAAGAGCAACTCAAATGGGAACGCTGAAATGACATGCCAACATTTCAGGGCACATTGAAAACACTCAATAATTCTTGAAATTACTGTATCCTAAAATATTACTACCAACCGTTTATAGATTAGTTCTGTATATCTACTCAGACAGATGCATATTCCTAGACCTCTGAAAACAAACAGGCTCATTGGTCTCTTTTGGTGTCCACACAATAGGCAAGATAGGTTTACAATAGTGTTTAAATGGAACTACGCATCTATAATCTCCTGACTCCACCACATTCAAAACAAAAGTCAGAGTTTATTTGGCTACCTTGAAATCACTCCCATAAACCTGCTACGGTTCACTGGATCTAAACATTTCTCAGAAATGTGTCATTTATAATTTCACCTAAGTGATGATTAGGGGATCCTTTAAAAATGGTTAATGCCTAAGATACAAACTTTATCTAAATGAATAATTGCAATAAAGTGCTTATTACCTTTCAAAATGATGCTTTTAGACTGTGGTATGTTGTTCTAAGTGTGTGCTATTCCTCCCATAAAGGATCCCCAGGCATGAGAGTCTGATCTCACCTGTCTCAGAAAGCAGCAGCACTATCTTTTGGTAGGTAGGCTGACAATAGGCACATTACCCATGCAGATGAGGCTGTACTATGGCAAGGGGGGGGGGATTAGAAAAGTGGGAGGCAGGTGGAGGGTTCCTACTACACTCATAGTTCTATACAAATATATTAAATATGCTATAAAAATAGTCAACTCTTTCCTTTGCATTTACTTCAGAAGCTCCTCTTAGAAGAGTGTTCACTCAACCCAGACAAACTGAAAAGGTCTCTTTCCCTAAGGACTATGAAAACGGCAAGTGCCTGCTTTTGTGCTGTTTCTTCTCCACCACTGAAGAGTTCCAGTCAGCTTACTCCTGGCTCTGTGCCCTCAACAATATTAATATCCAGTGTTTATACCTTCCAATGTGGACTCCGTGGTGCTAAGAACAGGACCACAGGTACTGGAAAGGTGATAGGCTTGAACGAGTTTTACACAAATGTTACGACAAACCTTTAATCACCAAAGAAACAGAAAAAAGAAATACTAAAAATGCTATCTGTGTTCCACTTGGAAAAAAAAAAATGCCTCAATGTAGCAGAAACATTTTAAAGGGACAGTACTATTCCAAGTGAAAAGAACCTACCTCTGTAGACTACTACTTTAAGGGTCCTTTCTAAGGCTTGAACAAGGGCTCAGCTCCCTCACAGCTGGACTGCTTCAGTGCTCCCAACTAACTTCAAGAGACTGCTTTAAGGCAACGACCAACGACAGCACCCAGAATTCAAACACTCACTAGTTTGCAGAGTGTTCTCTCACAAACTCAAAACCACTGGCATTCTTTGATTAGTAGGACATTCCTAAGCCCTGTCTATGCAACAGCAGAACACAGCACTCTAAAGCTACCCTAAACTTAGGGTGGAGCTTGGGGCAGGGCCTGTAGTGCTCATTTGCAGGCAGCTCCACCTGTCACCTCTGCTCCCCACCCCAGTTACTACTCTAGGGAAGAGAAGAGGAGTACTTTCATGTCTAGGCTCTGGGTTGACAGCGGCCTCCAGAGCAGCTGTGTGCTTGACTGTTCTCATCCCAAAGGATCAGCAACACCCATGTTCTACAGAGCAGCCCAGAGCAAAGTACCTTCCGGGCAACAGGATCCTAGCTGACCCGCACCCTAACAATTCTTAACTAAAAAGTGCTGCCCAGAATACAATTTTAAAGAAAAATGAATCCCCATGAAATAGAGCAGGGGACATTAAGGTTTATAAGCTGCGAAGTGTTTCTATTTGGTATCTTTTCATGATTTAGGTTTTAGATTTAGGTTTCAGTCAACAACTTTGGCTATAGAAACGAAGAACAGGCAACAGATGAATCTTCATCAGAATGCTCAAGTCTGTAGGAAGCAGACAGGGACAGTTTGCCACCCAAAGAAACCAAGAATGAAAGAGCCGAGAGGCAGCTGGTGCCGACAAGTATTGCCCAGCACAACTTTCCATATGGACAGCAAAATTAGTGGCTAGGCGCTCCTTTACCAACTGCTTTTAGTCAAGAAGATGAACTGTGAAGAACAACAGGAATTACATAATTAGTATACCGTATCTCCTGTGAGCTAAACCCTCGTCACTGGGTATTGCCAAAGTCAAGGAGGCACAACTCAGATGACATGGAATGGCATAAGATCAAGAAGGCAATTTGGGAGGGGAGAAAAGCAATGTGGGTGCTCTACTTACATCAACTTTATCACGGGTACACAAGCTTACATATGCATGTATTCTTGCATCTCTTCGGGGTGTTCATACGAATGTCAGCTAGAAGGACTGTGATATGTTAGTTACTGACTGGTACCTGGCCACACTTCTTCTGCAGAAGGGTAGGTACCAATTTCTTTGGTTGTTTTCATTGTCACCACTAACTTCTAACTGAATTGCAGCCAGGTAAACAGGAAAACAAAGACATGCTTAAGGATGGCAACAAAGCCGAGGACCCATAACTGACTCGGCGTGCGCGCGTTCCCCAGAGCCCTTATCTAGCGATTCTGCAGTAGGTTAGTTTCACTGCTGGGAACCTTTGTTTAGCAGCCTCACCCTTACACACTTTCTTTGAAGGTCAATTCTGATTTGTCACACTTGTCCTCCCTTTTCTCAGTAATGTTTTATATTCTATTTTCTACTATCTTTTGTTCTATAATTGCAAATTTCATTATTAGTACCATAAAATCTAAAAAAAAATGCTTTTTAAAATATATGTAACTTTGTTGGAGTTTATTACCTGGAGAGTGTGATATTGCCAGATGAAATCTTAATTCATGTTTAGAAAGCATGTGAGTGGTAATATTCTAGTGTTTCAATGAAGGTTAAAGACAATTTCTACCCCATTTCTCTGAACAAGTATTAAATGGTAATTCTTAAAGGACTACTTAGCTTAAAAGGAAGATACTAATTTGGAAACAATTCTGGGATCACTTTAACAACTCTGATACTGTTAGGGCAGTCCAAGAGATGTAGCAGTCTTCATGGGAGCCAGAGAATGACACCGAGACCCACATGCTGCTAAAAATGTACTAAGGTTTCAACACTGCTACTGAAACCAGACGATGAATTCAAGATGGTGAGTTATCACCTGAATTAAAATCAAGGCACTATGGGTTTTTCCCCCTCAAATAACCCTGAATCATTTTAACTAAAAGAAGCATTGAAAATTTTAAAGATAATAAAAAGACTCCAACAAATCCTAAAAGTTAAAATTCCCACCATTGAGAATGTTAAAAAGTGCCTAAAATGTTCTGTGTGCAAATTTTACTCTTATAACTGAAACATTCTTGAAATCACTTTCAGGCTTGTTGAAAACCATTTACATAAATATTCCAACTATGAAATATATCAAAATATGTGATCAAACTCAACCAACCATCTAAAATAAAGCAGTGCAATTCTATTTTCAAACATAATTGAAAAATAATGACATAAGGGCTATTTCTGAATAAAAGGAAATGTAGCAATAATTTAACCAGCAGCACATTACACCTCACTGAACAAACTGTGACATCACAGCCAAAGCGCGAACAAAAAAACTTGTGCCCTGGAAAAAGTGACTAGAACACTATTGTGTTGTAAACAAAATGAAAAAGAGAGGCTGTTACCAGTTTGTACATGGTGTCAAAATCTAATGAAATGTACTCATACCTGTAAGGGACAGATAATGCTTTCATGCTGCATACAGATAGTTTGCTTTCTCTTCTCCATCCAGACACATACACATCTATATAGCATCTATACATAGAGAATTCAAACCTGCACAACATTCTGCAAGTAATCACTGATCCATCATTATCTGAACAGGGAGGGGAGCTGGGGTAGGGACTACTAACTACAGGACTATCTTCATGGCAATCTAAGCAAATCCCTGGCAGTGGTGTGTCCTCTGTAACATCTGATACCAGGCACAGAACCACTAAAGCTACCAACATTGTTAGTGCTTTTCTGATTCGATAAAGGTCATGATAGTTGAGCTTGTTAACATTTGGCAATATACTCTTTTTCCATTAAAAAAATATCTGGGTAAAGAAACTGCAGAATTGGCTGTGTCCCTGTAATCATCTCCCATCGGCTGGTATTTAATGTACACCTGTAGCACTGGGCAGCATTTCCCTACCAACTAATCCAGGAACTGGAACACTCAAGCCCACCCTCACAGAACTGCTCAACTTCTAACCCTGTCATCTGAGTGAGCGGCTGGCCTCTCCTTCCTCTAGTGTCAGAGAGGAAGTATGTGTGCTACTGGGGCTGGACCTTGGAAGGGTCAGTCAGGCTGTCAGTCCTGTGCCGACTAAGCTGCTGCTGCTGCTGCTGCTGCTGCTGAGGCTGGTGTTGCTGGTGATGCGACGGAGGGAAGGTGCCCTGCTGCAGTGGGAAGGCGGCAGAGAGGATGAGCTGAGCTGAAGGATTCCCATGGAGCAACCGAGACGTCTACAAACAGAAGAAGATTATGCAGCATGGCTCTATGCCTTCACCCTGTCCATTCACAGTGTCCACTGTCCACGTGACAAGAGCTATCAATTCCCATTTTATTTGCCAATCTAAAAAACTGGTTTTGGAAAACAAAAGCCTTACCTTCTTCCTGAAAACATAACAAAATTTAATTTTTCAAAGGAATCTGTGCTGAGAACTTAACAGTACAAAATACTATTGTCTTGAGACAAACCACTTATTTTTACTTCATTTCCTACAGGACCAAATTTGAAGCAGTAGAGCTGGAGTACAGCTATGCCTGTATAAGACACGAACACTTGCCGCCTGTCAGACAGACAATGCTCTCTGCACACAGCTCTGCCTGCTAGTAAAGAGTCAAGGCCAGGGATGAGAAAATAGCTCTGTCCATACAGTGCTTGTAGTCCCAGTATGGGGGAGGTGGAGACAGGAGGATCTCTGGGGCTCACTGGTCAGCCAACCTAACCTAGGAAGTGAACCCCAGGTCCTTATGAGACCCTGTTTGAAAAAAACAAGGTAGACGCCCAGCAGTGGTAGTGCACGCCTTTAATTCCAGCACTTAGGAGGCAGAACCAGGCGGATCTCTGTGAGTTCAAGGCCAGCCTGGGCTACAGAGTGAGTTCCAGGACAGGCACCAAAACTACACAGAAAAACCCTGTCTCGAAGGCAAAAAAAAAAACAACAAAAAAACCAAGGTAGACTAAGGAACAAAACCTGAGTGCTGACTGCTGGCCTCCATACATTTGCACTTGCACACACTTGTGTACCCCCACCACCACCGGAGCAGTCAGAAAAGCACAGGCTTTAGTAGACTTGGGTTAGCTTGAGCTGTTCCACCTGTAGATGTGTGACCCTGTCCAGCTGTTGACCTCTCCCAGCCTCAGCCTTTCCCTTAGTCAAAGTGTCTATTATGCTGATTTGTACAGACATTATAGGAAAAGGAGGGAAGAGCTGGAGGCTCAAGTCCTATGTGGCTGTATGAGGTGATACATAAAAAATAACCCCTCTCCCCAACAGAACGGTCTGTTATCACTAGTCCATGTCTGACCTTGAAAGCCTCAACTTAGGAGTCTGTTTCTCTCCCTACATTTTGACTTCTGGCTGCTTAGTAGTCTGTTCTGTACTCTGGTACACAAAAAGGGACTAGCTGAGAGAATGGGAAGTTTCAAGTACAGTACTCTGGAAGACAGCACACTTACTCCACCATCCTTGGATTTCAATAAGCTCACGTGGGGGATGACGTTTGCAACTGTGTATGAAGGAAACCCATGTACACAAACACAAGGAGAGACTTCAACCTTCCCATGAGAAAACTTGTCAAGGACCTTTACAATTTTCCTTCTTGATTTGTTACTAGAACAAGTCTTTGTAAGACAAAGGGATTTATGGCATTTACTTCTCTGATTACATCCCAAGTACATTTTCAGAGGTCCATTAGAAAAGCCAAATTATGTATTTATTATCTCAATAAATATGTTTATGGAAAGCATTGCTTATCTAACATTTTTATGGTTCTCATGTTTTGGGGATGCATTTTTGTGGTGGGGGCAGGCAGGGAAGAAGTGGATGTTCACTTTATAAATACTTACTTATTGTGTTTGTGTGTACATCGGCTAGGGTTCACATGGGGAGTCAGCTCTCCTCTTCTACCCTGCGGGAACCTGAGACTGAACTCAGGACGTCAGGCTCAGCAGAGAGCACCTTCACCTACTGAGTCATCTCCCTGGTCCCAAACGTTCCTTTTCTCTCAAGGCCTGCCTTCCTTGACAGATTTAGAACACTAGACCTTAAAGCAAAGCACATTCTTTAAGCTTTTGTTTAATTCTCACTAGAGATTTTATATATATAAAATCACACCCACCCACACACAGATGTATATGTATATATATGTAAAAATGTGTGTGTAAAATGTGTGTAAATATATAAAATATATTTCACCTAAATAAAAGCCTAAGACTGTTTTTATTATTTATAATAATAGCTAACTCAGTTATTCATTGTACTAGTTCAGACTTAGGGCCTGTGGGTATGACTTGACAACATTTAAGCAATGAGGCTATTTCAGTATTACCCTACCAAAGTAAGACTTCCACCTAGCCTAGATGGGCTCTAGCAGAGAAACCACCAGAGTCCCCACACCAGAGCCTAGAAACCGGTTCTGTTGGTTCTTTGCTGAGGATTCTGACCAGGTGACTTTGTTCTGAACCTATGGATAGGCAGATTCTGTTTCGTTTATCCACCTCGTATCTGTGTGGGTTTTGCCATTAATATGAATATCTTACTACATTTGCCAATATCGTGGTGATCAATGACAGCTGGCTATATACCTTACAGTATATTTAGCAATTTACACGCTTTTTTTAAAAAAAGGCATTAAGTATGAACTGATATTACTTCCAATGTGTCAATGAAGTTTACAAGTTTATGCCAAAGGTCGCGTGTATGTGGTATAGCAATTACTCAACTGAGGGCACCCTGATTTTAGAGCCGAAGTTCTAGTGGTAACCTATACTGCATCTACACTGGATTTCTCCTCTGACATTCATTTCTAACAAGAAAATTCTAATAAACTGGCATAGTAGTGCATGCGTGTAATCCCAGCACGCAGAGGCAGAAGCAGGAAGACCTTTTTGAGTTCTAGGCCAGGCAGAAACACATCACAACAAAACCACAATCTAATACAATTTAATCTGATGAATAAGGTAACTCCTAGGATGAAAAAGGGATCCTTCTTGATGTCCCTGCTTAATGAAGAGTACAGTTTGAAAAAAAAATGGGGCTTTTGATTAAATTCTAGAAATACTAGCCTGAGAGAGAAAAAAGGCTCAGTAAGTGACCTGATATGGGTAGGAAGTAGGCCACTTACTCTAGCTAGAAGTTCAGATAACCAAGTCCTCCAAGGCTGAAGAAGAAAAGATAAAATAGCCAATCAGAACAAGCTTTCTATTTCTGTAGATATTTAAATCCTACAATAAGCCTTTCAAGATTTTCCAGGTCCTTTACAAACCTGTCCCTTGAACATCTTATTTGGTGATAAAATCAGCTCAAGGCAATTCCTCATGGGGAGATTACCTGTAAAAACTGCTGTGGTGGTGGTTGGGTCAGCTGAGCCTGAGGTGATTGCTGAACCGAAGGAAGCTGCTGTTCCTGGGAACTCTGCTGCTGCTGCTGCTGCTGCTGCTGCTGTTGCTGCTGCTGCTGCTGCGTTACCGACAGTGCCTGAGCTTGCTGCTGTTGTGTGGCAAAGGTAGGGTAAGCAGTCACCACCTGACCCATAAGCATGGTACTTGGTACCATGACGGCCCCACACGCTACGGGAGCAGTCACTAATTTGGTCACAAGTTGCTGACCTTGAGAAAACCTGTGAACAAAAACAAAGAAATGGTGTCAGAGAGACAAAGCATAACTCGGTCAGCAAAATAGTTATCCTAGACAATACCCAATGAAATGGCCTGTTGGTTTTATAAAAGTCTATGCTCCTAGTTTCTGTTTGCAGAGATTCTCCTTCGAGGCTAGGGGCATAGCTTAGTGGCAGAGTGCTTGCTTGCATAGCTTGTTGGGGTCAATCTCCAGCACCAAGGACAATTTTAAAGGCCTTTTTGTTTGGGATATCAGTAAAACAAGCAAACAAACAAACTACATATGTGCGTGTGTGTATGTATGTGTATATATGTATATATACATATATATACATATATACACACATATATAAATTATATATATATGTAGTTTGTAATATAAAATATACCAAAAGAGAGACATAGCAAAACAACTTTTAAAAATTCTCATATTCAAGATAATGACCTTTCATATCACACATAAAAATTGGTTGACAATGAATAAATAAGATCTAAACTACAAAACTCATGACACTGGGCCTGGCGATGACCACTGACGATGTCAAAAGTACAGGTAGGTGACAGTGGAAAGGATTCCCTCCATGACATCACGTCTAACCAGCATAGAAGGAACACTGAAGAACTGGACAAAAGTTAAACTTTTCCTCCAAAACCCACCAAGAGCCAACAAACACATAAAAAAGCCCTCACTAGACCTTGTCCTTAGAGAAATGACAGCTAAAACAACAATGGAGAGCCACTGCATGCCATCAGGACGGCTGACACTGAGAAATACAACGGACTGGGGAAACTGTGGTCTTCACGTGCTTTCTAGTGCTATGATCAAGACCACGACCAAAACGCAACGCCAGGAAAGGGCTTGTCTGGTTACATACAAATCCCAAGTCATAGGCCACTGCGGGAAGCCAGGGCAGGAGAAAGGGACTGAGGGGGAACCGAGGTGAGACTACAGAGAAACAATGTTTCCGGCTCTCTCATACACCCCAGAAGCACATAAAATTCATCTGCTCCCCTATGAAGTCTGCGAAATAGTTATCACTCCAAGTATACATGAGCTGGTTATTCTTGTATTTTTATTAATGTCTCATCCCCTGTTCAAAGGATTAGCCTTTACACGTCTGTTGAAATATGTTCCCTCTTCCCCGGTTACAAATGGTTGCTAAAATGCATCCTCCAAAATGCATGTCAGCATTCTAGTTTACTATCTTCCTTCTCAGGCAGGCTGGAGATGTCTGTCAGTGGCAGCAGTGTGTATGCCTAGCATGAGAGAAGGCTCTGAGTCCAGCACCCCCAACAAAAACAAAACAAACACAAACACCAATCAACTTTCAGAGAGCATTCCTAGGGCACAGTCCTAAGATTTCCCCAAGAGTGTGAGCACTACAGTTGGATGTCTGAAGTTGAGGAACTTGAGCTCCAAGGAAAACAGATTCTCTGCTCTTGCTGCCTATATAATCCTGTAGCTTCCTTGGTCTGAACATTATTGTTATCTTAAAAATCACTCTTTTCCATACAACAGCAAAATATGCAAGCAGTAGCACATGTATAGTGAAGGTAATAAAAACATGAAACTATTTCAGATCATGTATTTAAAACTTCAGAGATCCTATAGTTAAAAACCCATCTTCCCAGGAAAGTATATTTATGCAAAAATTTGTTTATAATCAGCTATCCAGACTTATCACTGGAGACACAGTTGCCTGTTCTTCTTTTATAGTTACACCTAAGCCTTGAAGGGACCTGAATTCACAGCCACCCCTCTGCCGTAGCACTTGGTCAAACCACTAAAAACACTTTCTCATCTGAGACATGGGGAAATGATGGAAGATACCAATGTTTATTTTAAAAAATGAAACATTTTGAGCAGAAAGATTATCCAGCTACCCTACTGTTGCTCTCTTAACATCCTCACTAAGAAGACCAAGCGACACCAGTCAGTCTGTCAGACTTGTGTGACAGCGTACGACAAAATGTGGTTCTGTATCTGACAGCCCAGTTTGGAATAAAAAATAAATTCTGATGTCATTCTGTTAAGTCTTTTTTTTTTTTTTTTGGTTTTTCGAGACAGGGTTTCTCTGTGTAGCTTTGCGCCTTTCCTGGAACTCACTTGGTAGCCCAGGCTGGCCTCGAACTCACAGAGATCCGCCTGCCTCTGCCTCCCGAGTGCTGGGATTAAAGGCGTGTGCCACCACCGCCCGGCTCCTGTTAAGTCTTTAATAATAGATACAGTATTTATTACAAACCTTAAAACATGGGTATAGCAAGCAATAAACTAAAATTTCATGGTAAAAAAAAAATTATTGGTTTTGGACAAAAGTACAATACTAAGACTGAACTGAGGGTCCTGTCCACGCCAGGCAAGGTCTCTACTCCTGAGTTGTATCACTAGCTCATATATACATTTTTATATATTGGATCTGTTTCTATGATCTTCTTTTACTGTGCCTGCCACATGCATGGAGGCATGGAGGAGGCCAGAGGCGGTCACGAGAACTCCTGCACCTGGAGTTAAGGTGTTGTGACCTGCTGGAGGTGAATGCTAGGAACTGAACTCGTCTTTCTAGAAGAGCAGCAAGTGTTCTGAAGCACCAAGCGCACAGAGCTTGGTTTTATTCAATCAATTTATAACTCTGGAAATAATAAATGAAGTCTGACATCCACCTTATCTGTCTGTCCTGAGTGAACGTGGTTACCGTAGCACTCTGCGTACTGTTCTGGGGCATACTGGATGGGATCTGGACCATGCTCCCAGACGCAGGCTGAGAGATCACCATTGTGTTATACAGCGGGGCTGTGAGAGTGCTTGGCGTCTGGTTTGGAAGAGACGTTTGCTGACTATGTCCACTCATGACATTCTGTTGACTCTGCTGGAAAAGGAGATTTTATAGAGATTATCTAACAGTTATAGGACAGCATGCTCTACTATCCACCACTTGACAGTGGCTGACAGAACAGAAAAAGACAAGCAAAATATATTATTTGGAGAGAAATACAGAAAAGACTGACTTGGAGTAGCTGACTTAGGCTGGATTCTTTGATGGAAGATAATAAACTAAGACTTTAAAAGAAGCATGATCTTAACAAGGAAGTAGAAAATGTACACGAAAGACATCTGTTAAATGCCCAAAGCAAGTCAGTAATGGTCACACACTTGTATGTTTTTCAAATATAGTAACAGATGTACACTAATTAATTAATTACCAGAACTCTACAGAATGATTAAACTATTCCCACTTCCCCAACAGTCTATTCAGTATGCTTGCTACTCAAGACTCTCTTGCAAATCAAAGACTTATTACGTACAGAAAATCTGCACATTATAAGAATCTGGTATAATTATTAAACTAGGTACTAGGTATTAAATCACAAAATTATTAAATATCAAAATATTTTATAGTAATATATTTTCCACAAAATACTTTAATGATCACTGTCAAGAGTTTATGTTCTAACTTTTGTTAAAACTTAAAAGCTGATGCAACATAGAGCTTTAAGTAGATATTTCAGTCAATTACCTGAGTTGATGTACTCTGTAAAGTCTGTTGTTGTATCATGTGCTGGCTTGTGCTGACATGTCCAGTATTCATTCCACTTTGAATCTGGCTAGCAGAAACGACTTGGCCTTGCATATTTATAGGTGTGAGTTGCTGAATATTAGAATTTCCAGAGGAAAGTTGAACGGACCCAAAATTCAATCCAGAGTTTGATTGCTGCAAAAACATCTTTGAAAATAAAAATTACATTTTAATGAAAAACTTTGGCAGGAAGGCTCAGTTTGTTGCACGAACATGATAGACTGAGTTTGGTCCCTTGATTCCATGGTGGAAGGAAAGAACAGAGTCCCCAAAGTTATCTTCTGACCTCCACACATACTCTGCAGTACATATATGCTCACATTAACACACACACACACACACACACACACACACACACACACACACACACACACACACACACACAATTTTTAATTACATTTTTTTGCAGGGGTGCTTGGAATCAAACTCAGGGCCTCAAGCATTTTAGGTAAACACTACTGATGAGTTACATTCCCAGCCTAAATAAACTTTATAGTTTAAAAAAAAAAAAAAAAGACCAAGGAGAACACTGAAAGAAACCAAGCAAAATGAAGTTTAACAGTCAAGTAACAAGTCATTAGGACATTTCACACGAACAGTTAGCAACAATGACAATAAAACATGAAGCGCCACATTCATCCTTGCACTCATCCACAAGGTCAACTGAGTTACTCAGTGCTCCTCAAAGGGCTGCTGCTGGCAGCTTTGTATCATCTGTCACTCAAAGTTCCTGACAGTACACAGAATTACTGTTCACCTAGTTTCCCTTCAGCAAAGACCTAGTTCCCTAGATGGCCCTGTTAGTCAAGTAATATGAATCATATCTTATTGGTATTTTATTAAAACCATTCTAAACTGTCTACCTCAAAGGTTCTATAAAGTAAAACTTTTATATTATGGATTTGAACTTACTAAAACTTGGAGTTCATTAGTCTAAAAAATAATGATGCTGATAGCAATGTCTTTAGGAATGAGTACCTCTGGAGGCTCTATACTATTAAGCAGGTAGCCAATGTTTACTGAACTGGGAAAAATAGACCTCTTGCATCTGGCTTTTCAAAAAAGAGGGGTAGGGGACAATGTTTAGGAACCCAAAATGTGAATGAGATTCTCTGTGCTCAGAATACATTACCTGAAGCCCTTGACCATGGACCATCTGAAGCTGCTCTTGAATCTTCCTCAGTTCTTCCTGTTGCCGATGAATATTTGCCTCTATCATCCGCGTCCGCTGCTCCAGCTGGTCTTTCAGATGCTGCATGGCTCCTAACTGAGCTGAAAACTGGAACTGAAGCAGCACAAGCAAAGACAGTGTAACACATCTTAGAATTCCGTGTCCCACTAACTGTGCCATGTGCAAGGCAGGAGAGCCACCTCCCAGAGCCGTCTTCACTCTCCTTTGTGACAGGAGCTGGACCTTTAACTCAGTGCTGTTGTCTGCAGACCCCTGGGAACCTGCCCCAGATGCCCCTGGAGGGAGACTGCACAGGAAGGCGCTTCTCTTCCTGGTGCCAGTGAGTAGCAAGCCCCGCCTGCCCAGTCTCATCCACAAAGTCTACTTCCCAGCAGACGCTCTCTCATGGCAGCTCAGCGCACTTCTCTACTCAGTGGCTCCAGCCACATACAGCCCACCGAGTGCAGGGAAAGAGGTGTTGAGGGGCTGCGTTCGTACGTCCTTCCTTGGCTGCTCTCCCTGATTTATGTGCGTGGTTGTTCTCATGTCCTTTTTTAAAGTTACAATTACCACCTGGGGAGGGGCACATGTCACAAATGTGTGTGTAGGTCAGAGGACAACTTGAGGAGTCATTTCTCTTCCTTTACCACGTAGCTCTAGGGGGCAGAACTCAGGCTGTCAGGCTTGGCAGCAGGTGCCCTTAGCCACTTGACCATCTGGCTTGCTCCCCTTGTTCTTGCATTTTTTAGAGATTCTTCTTTTAGTTACCAGCTAATACAGTTTTTTATTACCTCTGCTTGAACACTGTGCAGTTAAAAGATATGAGTGCTTCCAGGTGTGGTGGCACACACCTTTAATCTTAGCACTTGGGAGGCAGAGGCAGGTGGATCTCTGTGAAGTTGAGGCCAACCTGGGCTACAGAGAATGTTCTAGGACAGCCAGGGCTATGGCTATGCAGTGAGCCTCAGTCTTTAAAAAAAGAAAAAAAAAAGAAAGAGAAAAGTCAGGCTGAGCTCATACTGCAGCCCAAGAACTTAGAACAAGTTCTTTAGTTGCTCACTTGACCTCTACATTTTACCAGATGAGAATGGACCCCGCACCTGGAATGAATCCATAGCAAATTCTGTCATCTCTAGAGTCCCCTCTGTGTGTACATCAGCAGAATTATCCAAAGCTAGGCAGGAGGATCACAAGTTCAAGACCTACTTGGGATACAGAGTGAGTTCAAGGTTAGCCTGGCAACATTTGAAGGCCCTGTCTCAAATTAGAAAGTAAAAAGAAAGGGCTTGAGGGCTCAAATACAGAGCATATTTGAACTTTCTAGTTCAAGACTGAGCTCAGTTCCCAGTGTCTTCCTTCTTTCCTTACATACATAAAAATTACTTATTTATATCTGAAAACAACCAATAATTTCATTCTCATACTATTTTGAAAAAAGTATAATACTTTTCAACTGATACTATCCTTAGACCAGTTTAAAACATAGTTTTTTAAAGATGAATGAATTCTAAGAAATTATGAATGAATGCCCAATGAAGAAAGTCATTCTACATTCAGGGATTTTAATCTTCTGGTTTTTAAATCCAATTAATAAGCTGCTCCTACAATTTAGACACACGTGATGACTCATTGCTCATTTAATCATTTCCATGAATATTTTGTACTCTGTAACAGCAGAGCATTTCACTTTATTGGAAATCTATCTTCCAAGTTTCCTGCAGTGAACTGCACCTAAAAGCAGGAAATACCCATCCTACCCTTTTATATCCTATCTTCAAAAAGGTTGTATTAAATTAATAAGTTCATTTTAAGTTTGTGCTAAAGACACTGAATATTACTTTTCCTTATTTTGTTGAAGTGTCCTCCCTATGTAGCCTTGGCTGGACTGGAACTCTCTTTCATAAACCAGGTTGCCTTCAAACTTCTGGTAATCCTCCTGCCTCTGCCTACAGGTATTACACCGTCATGCTTGGCTTCAAACACTGACTTGTGAGGATGATAATAACCACTGATATCCTGTATTAGCTTCTACTAGGCTTAAGAAAAATAGTAAACTTAGTACTTCAGCTTTCCCATGCCTTTTAAAAACGTTAGTTAAAATATGTTATATTTATTTTGTTATATATTTTATTGTAATTAAAGTTATTTTTTGCTACAGGTAAATGCCATGTTGTCACAAATTAAAGGATTTCTACTAAATACAAACCAAAAAAAAAAAAAAAAAAAAAGAAACAAGCACAGAATATACAGGATAACAACATTGAAATAAATCCACAGGACAAAAAAAGCAAAGTACTAAGCCTTACTTAGTCAATGAAAACATGAGAACCGAATGCTTAGGAATATTTTTGACATAGTATATATTATTTATATATTTCATGAAAACACCTCTATAATGATGTTGACAATGCTTTACTGATAACTTCAGATTAAAGAACAAATAATATTCAAAGTAGGTCTGCATATTGCATAAAAATTCCGTCAATATGTCAAAATATGTAAGATTTGAAGATTCAATTTGATATTTAATAATACAGTACTACTGTTACAGGGCTCTCACAGGGTAGTATTGCTAGCAACCAGCATTTAGTGCCAAAAAGAAGAGTCACAAGATTTCCCACTATCTTTATTACTCTTCAGTAATGTTTCTGAAACTTTGAATGAGATCTAGATCCCAAGTTAAGAAGGTACACAGCAGTGCTTTGGGAATCCTTTTCTCTTGCTAACGGCAGTATTCGCGCCTCCTTTGGACTCAGGCCATCTCACGTTTCTAAACAGCTTTCTTTCACTTTTGCTGTTCTCTGGCTTTGGTTTTGGAGGTACTCATGTAGTTCAGGCGGGGTGTGAACTCACTAAGCAGCTATGGATAACCGTGAACACCCAATTTCCCAGCTCCCACTTCCCATAAGTTAGCATACAGGCATGTACCACCACACTTGGCATCTTGCACTTGTTTAAGCTACATTAAGGATCCAAGTCATGTGTGTAGACTAAATAACATGGTATTTTAGTTATATGTCATATCCTCTAGATCAAGTAGCTTGTTAATATAGATATTACAAATACTGTCAGCATCCCTGATAAATGTAACTGAATACATACATAGAACTCAATAAATGTCCCATGTGCAAACAAATGAATTAACTTGTAAATTACTGAAATCTTCTAAAATTGATACATAAGAACAAAATGAACTAGTATATTTTATCATGTTGTTATATGTAAGATGTTATAGCACAGTAAGCAAGAAAATTCTTTGCTGTATAAGACCATCAAGCATCTTGAAAGATATATGCACCTGTGATTCTGTCTAGTAAGAGTCCAATGATACACAAAATCACTGTAACTAAAATGTCACTACATATTCTAAATACTTCCTATTAAGATTTACTGAATTTATAATTATATATATTTATATATACATCTTTATAAAATATTTGCTTAAATGCAAGTATCACTTGTAAATGCTCAACTAAAACAAACAAAAATACCTGTGACATGCCTTGTGGAATTGGTAAATTTGCAGCTTGAGACATCACTGGCTGTGTTAATGATGGACCAACAGACTGGGAGTTTATGGACTAGAAGCAAAATAAAAAATGACAATGAAGTGATGCTCACACTCATCTATGAGTACTTCCACCACAAACACCAATACAATGTGCTTATCATCCAATGACAACCTTGTATTTTGTTGAGTGTGAAGTATGTTGCCCTTTCTACTGTTTTATCTTTTCTTTCCTGTGGCACCCAGCACAGGCCCTTGATGTACGCTCAATCGGAAGTTGGGTGGACCAAACAATGGCAACTGGAACTTAATAATACCTCTCAATTAACACTTTTTTCGCAATTATAAAAATGAAAATCTAGCATTTCACCGGACAAATGAGAAAGATTTTGAGAGTCATATGTCCTTAGGGAAAGGGGATTTCAGGTGTCTGTGCCCACACCCATGGCCTTCCTGCAGGGCTCTGAGGTGAACTAAGGAGCGTACCTGACCGCTGAAGGATGGCCTCCGCGGCTGTGTCATCTTCTCATGAGCTGACAGGTGTGGTCTGGGAGGAGTGCTAGTGTCAGTAGGGATCTTTGTCGGTGTTGCTGAAGTCAGGCAACAGAGAGCAGAGTTAGTTCCTACAAACAGTTCTGGATGATTATGTTCAAAATACGCTTCACGAATAGAAATGGCTGAGTTAGTTTTCTCTTATTAGATAAAAGTTAAATCCATGTCTATAAGAATAACTTTAATTACTTCTTTTTTAAGGACAAAGAAAACACGTGATAGAAAACTTTAAAAACAGTTCCTCCTGTAATCCATAATACCCTCAAGGGACAGGCTTCAGAGCTCCCTACAAGTATGACAGTCCATGCACACTAAGGTCTCTTCCAACGAATGGCGTAGTATTTGCTTATCACCTAGGCACATCCTTCTGTATAATTTAAATCAACTTCAGATACTCTTACCTAACATAATGCAGACTTTATAAAACAGCTGTAGTATCACTAGAAAATAATAGCAAGGAAAGAAACCTGCACATGCTCTTTCGAGACACAACTGAGAAGGCGTTTTCTGTCACATGGCTGTAGATACAGCGGACCAGCTACAATTGAAAGACAATTATCCAAGTCTGTAAAAAGTAAAGGCTAGGGCTAGACTCTAGCCACTAGCGTTCAATGGTCAACAGCCCTATTCTGTTCCCACTATCCACATGGCGGCTGGTAACAACCCATGAACTCCAGGTCCAGGGAATCCGATGCCCTCTTCTGACCTCCATGGGGACCAGGCACACACAGTGCACAGACATACAAGCAGACAAAACACTCATACAAGTGTAATCACTTGGTTTTACAATGAAAGATAGTATTTTTTTTCCTTCAGGGGAATAATTTAAAAGTTAAGCAGAACATTATCATCTACATATCATCACTTGATGACCTTAAATCTTTTCTAAAGTTAATTTCTTTACTAGAAAGGTTACTGTACTTCAAACCTGAAAGAATTAGAATTTGAAGAAGTTCTTGTCAAAAGTGCTGATGTCAGCAACAAAAATAATTTAGAAGATCTCTTTGAAACACAGGTTTGTTTCCAGGCTAAGGCACTTACAGGAAGGGTCTGAGACTGCTGTGTGAGATGACTTTCTGGAGCTTCTAGAAGAGGCAGACGGAGTTGGGCTGTGATCAAACCTTTCCAGTGCTTCCTTGAGACTGACTGTATTTATACGATTGTCAGACCCAGAATCTTGGCTCTAAGGAGACAAGAGAAAATAAATGTCTGCTCAGTGCAGAGATCTCAACACAGTTAGATATCAGGACTTAATATCTAGAATAGAGAACTCCCTACAATTCAACATGACAATTCAATCATAAAAATGGACACACACACACACATCATGTGTGATAAGATGCACTTGTATTTGTTGTTGAGACAAGGTCTCACACTACTGGCTAAGAACCTGTGGCAATCCTTCTGCCTCAGAGCAACTGTACCTAGTGAGTATGTACTTTTAAATACAGCATCTGCAAAAGCTAGTAAGAGGCTCATTTGGGCTCAGCCCGGGAAACTCAGCAACATGCCCTGTCAAGAAATCAACAAAAAGCCCCAAACAAAAAAGAGAACAGGTTGGACACGGTGGCATATACCTGTAATTGAAACACTTGGGCTACAGAGGCAGAGTGACCAAGGTCATCCTTGGCTGCATAGCCTGCCCAAGGCCAGCCTGGGCTGCATGAGACCCTGTCAAAAACACAAAACAAAACACCCAAAATAGATAAATGAATGAATAGATAAATAAGAAAACAAAAGAGAGAGAGGGAATTGCTTCTCCAAAGAGGAAATAAACAAGCACTTGATAAACTGCTCAACCTTACTAGCCAGGGAACTACAAATCAAACCCAGTCATGCTATTTCACGCTCTATTAGAATGGCTAGGACCAAAAACACCAAGGCAGACACTTGGGCGGCAGATCTCCTCTGTAAGCTCAGAGCCAACCCAATTTACACAGTGAGTTCCTCGACAGTCAGTGAGACCCCGTCTCAAACAAAACAACATAAAAAATAACAAAAATCCCACCAAACACAAAAGCTTCTCAGAAATCAATTAATATGATAAAGATGTGAATAAACTTGAACTCTTATGACTTGGTAAAGGGTTTGTAACAATGGCATGGCTCTATGGAAAATAGTATGGCAGTTTCACTCAAATTTTAACTAAGAGTTACCGACCGTATGATCCAGTATTCTATTTGGTCTACACCCAAAGAAAAGAAGCAGGGACTCTAGTAGCTATCTGTATACCACCTTTCTTCAACTATTATTACAAATAAAAGGTGAAGGCCACCCAGGACTCCACTGACTAATAAAAGGATACACACATGATGGAATATTATTACCCAGTCCTCAAAACAAAGAGAAATCTGACACATGCTATAATGAACCCTGAGAACATACTAGTGAAATTAGCCTGTCACAAAGGAACCAACACTGTATGCCTCTACTTATATAAGGTACTCAGAGTAGCCCAGTTTGAAAAAGGAAAGCATAGCGGAAATGAGCTGGGGGAGAGGAGAAAGGCTGTTTACCAAACCCTGTTTGGGAGGATGGAAAGGTTCTGGGCAGGGATGCTGGTGACAGCCGTACAACAGTGGCAATGTCACAATGCTGACTTGCCACATCACCACTTTGTAAAAAGTGACTAGAAAAAGGGAAGGACAGGATGAAGCTGGTGCTTTATTTTATAGACAAAGGAGTGTAAAATCTCTGGAACTCAACACCTGCTCCAAATCTTCAATCTGACTTTCTCCGGGATCCTACTATGTGGATGAGCCACTGCGACCCTGTCATTTTCTACCACCTTCCTACCAAGTCAAGTACAATAACCTTCCCTACACTTACTCCCTTACCTTAGTCATTCTATCTCTGACTTGTTAGAGCAAACACCGAAGCACCCAGAAGCAGTACAAACCAAAATGCCCATTTAAATCATGCTTCCTGTTCCTAGCTCACAGTCTCAGGGGTCTGTGGAAACAATTGCAGGTGGCCTATGATGGTCACTAACTTCAAGTGTATGCTCCATTCTAGTCAGCAGAACTGCCAAGTGTACCAGAGGGCTCATGTTCCTATTCTTGAGTTATTCCAAGCTTTCTCACTGTTCCTTAACCTCTGTCTCCCTCTCTCATCTGACTGCCTTGCCTTACACAGATGAGAGCACCTATGCACCCCCAAAGGCAGCCCCCCACCATGGATGTAGCATATACAGCAGTGCTTCCTCCCCATCCACACGTAAGGGAGAATCAGTGTCCCCTTCAAGTCTTTCCTCACGCATTTGTGAACAAGCGGTGCGTGCACCCCCTTATTTCAGGGCTACAGATGACTGCTTACATGTATACATGCAAAAGAGTTCGTCTCCAAAGCACTCAATCTAGGTGGAGGGCGAGTGACTCAATGCCTGTCCCTTCCTTCCTTAACCTGCAGCTCTTCCCAGCCTGTACTTGAGTCTAGTTTTTATGGCTTTTCCAGCCACCTTCAAAGTCCATAATAAAAAAATAACTGCATTTTCCATCTCAGTTCTGAGTAGTTCTTCACATATCTGCTCTAAAAACCAGACCTCATCAATTTCCTTGTCGTTCCCACCACAAGTGAGAGTCTCTGTCTTAGGGCTCTCACTTGTTAGAGCTCTACAGGATGAAGAAATACCCTCCCTCTCAAGTTCAATGGTGTGGAGCTCATATAGCATGTCACATCACTTCCGGTGGTTACGTATCGATCCTGTGCTGACTTCACAGCACACCTGAATGCCATTCTAACTCAGCGTTCCCAGACTTAGTAATCCTAAATCACCTCTACTCAAACCAACACCCTCAAAATCTTCACTCTTCTTCAGCCACTAATTCTTGTCAAACCTCAAAGCCAATTATCTCAATTCAAGCATCCTCATTTTTGACCAGAACCTGCCACATTACCTACTCATCCATCTTAGTATCCTAATTCCAATAATCCTGTGGTTTAAGTCAAACCGACATCGACTCTCCATTTCCATAAATCAGTTTCACTTTATGTCTTCTTCCCCTTAAGAATCTTAAATTTGTGTCCGATATTATAACAACTGTGCGCATACGTTCAATACCCTAGCTCCTATCTCCTGTTATCACACTTCCTTGGCAAAATCCCAATGGTTAAACCACTTTTTGCTTATCCTACACAGCATAATATGACCAAAGGAACAAAGCACAGTGACTGTTCTTACTTCAAATTAATGATCAAGAGACTTGTGAGCATTCTTAATGTGCCTGCAAATCACACTGTAAATCTTAACACAACATTCCCTTTCCTATCTCCCTTTACAACCTTGTGACACCCCCCAAACTCCTCTCCTTAGGCTAATTCCAGCTGGTACCTTTGGTTCTTATTTCACTGAGAACATTGCCATAAGCTCCCACTATTGTAGCAATCACTAACTGTGAAGGTAGTGTGACTGGGGAAACGTGATCCTCCTCAGGGTGCTACTACAAAGCAGGAAGCAGACACTCTCCACAACACCCACCGACTGTTGCAGAGAGAGTCTTCTGGCTTTCCCAGCCATACAGTCTGTCAGCACTGCTCAATTACTGCAGCACAAATGTAGCCACAGACAAGCTAGAAGCAACTGGGTGTGGTCTGTTCTTTATGAACACTGAAATCTGACAGATGTTTCATGGAGCCTTATTATCAAAACATTCTTATTCTTATTATTTTTTTCAACTACTTAAGTGTATAAAATACATTTATAGTTTATGGATGTTGTGAAATCAGTCAGAAGGCCAGCTGTGACCTGCAAGTCATAGGTGCCAGCTTGATACAGTTGAAACTCTGCCCAATTCAACACTCTCTGTCTTTGTGTAAGGGATCCATCCATATTCCCACACATACTCCAGAACACTGCTCTTGGATCTCTACCTCCTACTCCATTAGATCAGGCAGGTGATATGCATGGTTTCCTACACGATAGAACAACAAAAACCAGAGTCCAAAGTCTAACTATAATTTCCCAGTCATGTGTCTTCAGGGAAGGTTCCCTCTTAAAACTAGTCTCAGTATTTTCAAGTGTAGGTTGTCACCTCAGAAAAGGTCACCTAAGGAGTAAATCACCGTTTATAATGATAAAGGAATACAGTCTAGCATGTCAAAGTCAATTATAATGATAGTTTTCATCTTAGATCGGGTGTGTCTCTCACCTAATTCAGTTTTAAAAGGCAAAATCTTCAATTCCTTTTTAGAAGCAAATGAGATTTTAAAATAAAAAATTCAAAATAAAAATGATAAAGGACAATCAAATCTCTCTCACAAATTACTAGGAAATGAAATACTTAAAAAGCGGCTGTAAGGAGCATACTTTGTCAGCAGCTGTCTCAGGAAGAGATTCTTCAATGCCAAGTTCTCGTCGTCTTTCAGCCCTTACTTCTGCATAACTACAAATGGAAAGAATCACATTTTAACGCTTGCTCATTTATTTGAAATACTGGAGAGATGCAACCAATTGCTGCTTGTTATCTATCTCACTTGATCAGAGTCATTCTGTACGATTTTCTATGTGCTAAGCAAACCCAACGCGTATATACCGTGCACCGCCTAAATTCAATCTGTGTACTTTAGGTAATCTACCAATGACCCGGAGGAACTAAGCATGTAAATTAAGAGGAGCTAAGTGGAGGAAAGACGATCGGCGGTTACTCTGGTGTTTGCTTTGTATGACATACACTGGTGCTTGGATGTTGGTACAACTTTTGCTACGCAGCACAATATTCCAGTCAGGCCTTATATACCCATGCACTACCTGTATCATATTTCTATCTATTAAGTAAGCTTAATATTAAAAATATTAAGTATTAAAACCAGAGAGAGATTATTATCATTAACAAATCACATATAAAATTATATTTGGATATTACTGCAGCTTACCAATTTTCTAAAAGAATTATTACCTTACTACAGTGTGAGTACAAACAATGAACTCTGGCCTTGAATTCCACTGATGGTAAGTGATATAATAATGAGTTTGAAGCCAAATCCACTGCTGTCCTTTGGTCAGGAATCTGTAATAACATGATTTGCCTTTCCCATACTGCATTACTAAAAAGAAAAGAAACAAGTATTTTTTCTTTGATAGATATTTAGCTACGAAGAATCTGGATTTCTTTTAAATAAAAGTTGTCACTTACATTTAATTCTCTATACAGACATAATTATTTTCTGGGTGATTTTCAGAAATATGCATCAACTCTAAAGATGGTTTTTAGAACCAGTTTAAGGTCCCCCCAATAACCAGACTCCCAGTTTCCAACTTTACAGTCAATTAGCGCTGATCTTACACATTTTTTCTTTCACAATAAATTCCATATACTGAAAGACTCACACTGTTAACTTGTTCTTGCCCAGATATGTAACACTTAGGGAAACAACAGTTAATAATCATACAGTTAACAATCATGTATTTTCCCACAGATACTGTCGTGTATGATATTTAAGGCATTTAACTGTCAAGCTTTAATTAACCAAAATTCAGAATCATGTCATTGTTTGAATGCTAAGTAGAGTTTCCCAACCTAGTTCAAATTGAGGTTCTAAAGTATTTTAACTGGTGCTAAAGCAAAAACTGGATTTTGTGGTTTAAACTGATTTGGGAAACTATGTACTTCTTTAATGTACTATAAGATTGTCCTTTGTATGTAAGACTAAGATCAAATATAAACTTGTTCCTTCTGTATACATTTATAAAAATAGTTATAAATCTTTTCTCTGTCTCTCATTAATAGAATAGAGTACCTATTTGTGTGTTGTAAAATAGCTCTCAATGAAAACATTAAGATCTACTTACAGTGCTCATGACATTTTGCCAGATTTTCTAGGTCATCCACATGATAGTAATCATAGCCTGATGTTCCCAAAACTTCAAATGGCAAATAGCCTATTATTGGTGGTGCCCTAAATTATATAATAATAAAAATCAGTATTACAACTTTTCTACAAGAGACATTATAGCCAGAAATTAATTTGAAAAGTGAGTTTTACATTTTTCAAAAGTGAATAATGAATTTCAAAATCCTGATTAGAAAGTTTGTCCCTGAAGTCCATTAATATCCAGAATTATATAACTATCACTTTTTTTTTCTTTTTCTTTTGTGAAATTTAAAGGTGACATTACCTGTGATCTAGAAATAGAAACTTCCATTCTAAACTGTGTCTAGATGTAAACTCTTCATTGGGTTCTTCAACAGTACACATTTCCTACAAACAAATTAACAAGTAGAATTCAGAAGTAATTTTCTGTATCCTTGGAAACATTACATATTGTTAGACATGAGTCATTATTAAATAACTTTCATCTAAACAAATTTTAGCACATTTAGGTTTTAGTACTAAAGCTCAAGGTCCTAAGCTTGATCCCCAACAATTCTCACAGTCGTCTGAGACAACAGATGAAACAGCAGCACCTGCCAGCCTCAGGTCAGCAGTTACAGTCCAGTGAGTTCTCACTCACATGCCTAAGATGGAGACCTTTCTTTTCCTTTACCTTCCCATTTCTCAATGTCTGGACACGCCCCCAAACAAGCCAACTGCCTTACTCTCATATACACTCAACAATTCCCTATCTCATCAGTGGTCTCATTTCTGTACAACAGAGTCTAGAAATCAGCACACTCTTTCATGATCTAAGTGGCCATTATTACAGGTTTTCTTTTAATAAAGATTTATTTTTATTTATGTGTATAGATGTGTGTCTCTCTGTGTGTATGTCACATGTGTGCCTGTGGAGACCAGATGAGGGTGCTGTAACCAGCTGGAGTTACAGCTGGTTGTAAGCCACCATGCCTGGATACTGAGAACCACAACAGTTCTTTTAAGAGTAGTAAGTGCTCTTAACCACTGAGCTATCTCTCCAGCCCAACACACTTCTAATTTTACCCTCTAGGTATTTTAAAATCCATTCCATAGCACTTATCTTTAGTGACTATGTTTAGATCCTTAGCCTCACTGATTCACCTCACTGCAATAGCATCTCATCAGTCTTCCCACCCTTCTCATCTGTCTTCTACTCAGGTCAGCCATTACCCTTACCTTAGCAATACTCAAATAGCATTATACAACTTCCAGCTTCAATCTCTTCTATGGTTTCTCATGCCCAAATCTCTTCAAGGAGAAAAACCACAGAGAGAACAAACTTCATGCCTGGCCTCTGCTTACTTTTCTGAAATAAGTTCTGACTATTCTCTCACACACATGAAACCTAGATTCTGTTGTACAAAGCAATGAATTACAGCCTTGCTCTCCATCCTTACAAGATCTTCTGTAACAGTTAGGAGCTGGGGCTTTGAAAGAAAAATAACTGCAATCAAGTCCCACTTACTAAGTGAGACATTTGGCAAGAAACTTCCCTAAGCCTTAGTTTCCTTAAATATAAAATATTATGATAGCATCTATCTCACAGTGTAAAAATTAGGTGAGAAAAAGCATGCAACTGCCCTCCAGTTTCCTAAGACCAAATGGGTAGAGCACGACTAGTTTAAGATCTCCTAACTGCTAACTGGTCTTTGTCTTATAGTCCGGTGTCACCCGAACTATAATGTCACCCTGTCTTCTTTCCAGTCTTTAAGGGCTGAAGTAATTGACTTTTCTCCTTCCCTACTAATCATCTGTTTCTGGAATGCAAGAAATAAAAACACACAATTTAAAATTCAAAGAGCAGGGGTTGAGGAGATGGACGGCTCAGCAGTTAAGGACACTGGCTGCTCTCCCAGAGGGCTTTGCTTCAATTTTCAGCATGGTAACTCACAACTGTATGTCCAGTTCCAGGGCATCCAATACCTTCTTCTGGCCTCCCTGGGCACCAGGCATGAACATGGTACACAAACATACAGGCAGACAAAACACCCACACACATATTTAAAAATTAATTAAAAAAATCCAAATAGCAAATTATATATAGTAAAGCCATGCTCTTTTTTTAAATTATTATTATTTTTGTTTTTTGAGACAGAGTTTCTCTGTGTAACAGCCGTTCCCTGGAACTTACTCTGTAGACCAGGCTGGCCTTGAACTCACAGACATCTGCCTGCCTCTGCCTCCCACGTGCTGGGATTAAAAGCTTGCGCCACCAATGCTGGATGCCACATTCTTTTAAAAACTACCTAGATGGTTTTTTGTTTTGCTTTGTTGACTTTCTTCTTTAAGGATGATAGTGAACTACACACACTAAATTCTGTATATAAAAGCAGGACAATGGTAATATACTACCATGGGATACCTGCAAAGAACACACTAAAAAAAGTGACACACTATTTAATGAGTGCTTGTATCCTTCACTGTGTTAAAATAAAAAGTTCATGCATATTTAATAACTCCTCAGCCATTACTTTTCAATGTTGGCAGACGGTTCAGCCTTCTGAAGACAACAAACATCTCCTAAGAACAACTCTCATTCCATGAACTGGAATGCACTGGCACGATTAAATGAGAAGCATACCTTGATGAACTGAGGTGTAGCTAACCTGACAGTAGCTACGAAACAAACTCTATCTTCGTAAGAAGGCCTGTGTGTGCGCTGTATGGTTCCTTCAAAACCATTGTGTGCTGAAGTTGATACTAAAAAAGCAAGGAGACATGTATCACTGGTTAATCTAGTAACATAGACTTGTAAGCATCTAAGAGCTTAGCAAAATAAAAACAGCCAGTTAAAATACATTGTAAAAGAAGTATTTTAACTTACCACTGTTTAAAGATTTAAAATTTCCTATAAATCTCACATATTCATAGGTGGATGGCTCCTTTGGGTCTATTGTTCCTCGAAGCATGTGACAACAGAATTCTAACTGATTTTTTGCTGAAATAAGTGATAAAATTTGGGTAAGTTCACAATCATTTTCTCCAACAAAAGCGCTCCACGTCATGTTCAGTGCATCACGTAAAGCACACGCAGAAGACGACCGCAGCCAGCACAGCCAACAGTGACTTCCTCCGTTTTCATCAGGTCTTCCGTCCCACTCCTCCCTAAGTTCACGGAGATTCTGCTCTCCATTTACAGCTAGTGCTTCCCCCTTTACTGAAAGCCAATGCCTTCTCTTCTTTCCTGTTGCTGTTGCTTTTTGGCAGGGTTTCACCCAGTAACAGTCTGGCCTAGAATCTGTCCCTTGCTTCAGGCTCCCAAGTGTTCAAATGCTAGGCTTACTGTTCCCATCTCTACCTTCAAGTCTTTCTTGTCTTCTGTAGGACCAGAGCCTTGCCACTTGGTATTCATCCCTTTAGCAACTGCAAATTTTCTTTGGTTCCTTACTTCCTACAATTTTAAATCTGATCACGTCTTCAATCTTTTCAATAAAGTACTTTTCATGTTAATCTATTTATAGCAGCAGAGAACTCATTCAAATGCACTCCAGTTTCCATGTATTCATTTCTCTAACTTCCTCACACCTCCAGAGCATTGGCTCTCCCAAACATCACTGACACTGGTATTGTTAACCTCAAGTGGTGTTTCTCATTCTTTCCAGCTGTCTTAAAACTTGTTCTTTCTCATCCCCACAGCACAAACTCACCTTCCTAATTACTGTACTCTGCTAACTGACACTAGATACTTTCACAAAGACGGTTTGAGCTTGACCTTTAATAACCTTTTCTACAGTCACCGACTGAACTTGGGAGGCTCCTTAACTCTGCTATCTTTCTGACCAACTCTACATTCTATGTAAGACAGTCTTGTTCATCAATGTGTAACACCTTCTTCCTTTGCTCAATGCATCATCACATTTACACTCTTCTGCATCTGGCTTTACCACTTAACTCAACAGGTTCAAATTCCAGTTATCATTATCTTTCCATGACCGTCCCAGATTTAGTTGTACTGGATTTATCAACTTATCAATCATGGTTCTTCTCCATCCTACTTCTACAGCGAATTATACACTTCCCCTTTTTTGTCCCTAGTTTGGTCCTTTGCAAAATTCTCTACCTTGATTTTTCCCCACTCCAACCACAAACCACCCAAAAGGCCTTCACTAGTTCTCTATTGTGTAAAGAATAAAATTTAAACTCCAAAGATTGAAATACTAGGTTCTTTATAATTCTGCCTCTTCTTTACAAACATCCTATCACATGTATTCCTTTATAGTCATTACAGCTAAAATAGCCTACTACATTTTCCAAGCAAAGATTCTTGCATTGTAACTCACAGACTCTTGGGAAAGAACTCTGCCTGTGTACCAGCTCTTTAGAAGGCCCTCAGCAAGCCAGGAGTTAAGACTTCTCTGATCTTGAGACCAGGGGGTCTATTCTGGCAAAAGCTTTTATGCACTTTTCTGAGAAGTCCTCTCCTCTGAGGGTCCCTGAAACTGCCTCCTTCTCCCTGTCCTTCTGCTGGCACCTCAGAGTGCCAACTTTCTACTTCTCTCCTTTTGTTATGCATTTGCCTGAAGGAACACCTTTTGTCTTGTGACTTCAAATACTGCTTAAAGCCATATAATTAATTTCTAGATTAAGTCCAGCCCAAATGTTTCTTCTAAGTGCCACATTAAAATAGTCTAATGACCAGTATAATGCAAATCTGATTATAAACAATTACATATAATAGGCTCCAAGTAAATTTCCACTTCTATCTTTTTATAAATCCTTCTGAAAGACAATCCATTCTTAACATGGATATAAATATGTACATAACTATAAACATGTTAGTTCTTAATATTACAGAATCTGAAGACAGAAATACTAAGATCTTTTAAAGTTGATTAATGTCACTATTACCAGATAAAATTTAAAACTAATCATAAAAATGATTAAAGAAGGTCTCTAATAGCTACACAAATACAATAATGTACTAAATTTAGACACATACACACACTTTTGGGAATTGAGCTCAGGGTCATGTGCATTACAGGCAAGTACTTCACACCGCTGTATCTGCATACCCACATTCTTAATTTTACTCAGGGCAGCTATTAAGGTTTGTATATGAACTGTTGGCACAAAGGTCCACAGCTGGTAGCGCTACTGTGAGAAGCTCTACAGACTGCAGGAGGAGGGAAGAAGCCTAGAGGAGCAGGCAGGGGCAGCTATGTCTGAGCCCGCCCTCCCGCCCTCCCTCCCTCCCTCCCCTTCCTAGCTGTCCTGCTGTCAACAGCTGTGCTCCACCAGGTCCTCCCCAGCATGTTAGACATCTCTAAACCACGAGCCCATATAAACTTGTCCCTTATCAGTGTCTAGTCCATGGGTGCACTGTGTGAAGGTAACCAGCACACCAAGAAGGAAGGCAGAGAAAGCGCCAGTCAACTGCTTGCCCAGGCACTCTACAGAAATGTCTCACTACACCAAACTATCTTGTGCTACTTTATGACAGGGTCTCTTTTTCACTATCTTTAGCAATTTAAAAATTATATTAAACATATCCAGCAAAGTTTATTTTAATCAATACTTTAATATTTCATTAAAAAAACATGTAGCTGATTTCCATCTTTTTATACATTACAGTTTGTTGCATAATTGTGATCAATTTCTTACATCAAAAAAGACAAGACTTCAATATACAATGGAATAGATTTGGTATCTTAAAATGCACGCAATTCTTTTAGTTATAAATATATATACCAACATTTTAAAAGAACTTAATTTAATAGAGTTTATGAAATAGTGCTACTAATTTAGTTAAACACATTGTGTTTTTCATAAACTTACAGAAGTAAAGGATAATGCTGTCAAATACAAGGTCTTTGTTTAGGAGGGTCTACTTACATTTTAAATACTCAGGGGTTAATGAATCACTTTCCAGCAGATGAGTAGAGAGTATCTTATAAACCTCTGAATGTTCTCCCTCTGGGATAAAATTAAATATACTTTGATCCACAAGATCAGACTAAAAAATAAAAATAAATAAAATTATATAAAAATGCTTTGAGAGGCACTTATCTCTAACACATCTAATAGATATTAAATAACAAAGGTGTACATGATTAATATTCAATTATCCATTAAAACCAATAATGTCAAGCTACAAACTCCATACTAAAAAATGAGACTGAGAAGCTAGAGAAGGCTAACATACCAGAGTCATCAGATCCATAATCAATGTGATCCTAAAAGCCAGATACCTTCTTCGAAACCTTTAGTTTCATCAAATTTGAACATTATAAAATACAACAGGACTGAGAAAGTTAAGAAAATTACTGGCTCTAAGACACAGCCTTGTAGTTTATTCAAACATCTGTTAAGTAGTTATACATGAGCACACAGAAACAGTGACAAGCTAAATGAAGAGATCTGACACTACTCTCACTGCAATGTCAAACATGTCCTTTAATTTCATTCCCTCTTTTCCAGGCATTTATTTTATATCACATTGTCAAAAGCCTTGCCTAAAATGGATGGCCAGCACGTAAAATATTCTAATTCTTCCTGCTTGCTAATATGACTTTAGTCATTATTCAATAATCAACAGCAGTCTGACCAATGTTAGGAACAGCTAACAGAGACAGGACAGCTCCTATCTCTGAACAGGTGATGCTGTGGACTCAAAGATGAATAGGACAGCTCCTATGAGTACCAATGACAGTGAAACCTCAGCCACTTCACTGTCTACTGAATCCAGCCCATCCTATTGGATTTCTCACTTTCCAAACCGTTAACTCTAGAAACAGGGTAGTGAGAGCTCAGAGACCTGTGGGAGGCAGGGCAAGTAGCGGGGCTGTGGCGGCCAAGCGGCTGCACTTTCATTTTGTCTGTATTTTACATAGCTATTAAGATTGTATCTGAATAGCTCCACTGCTTCAAACAAAACAGGAAGAAAAAAAGCAAGTCATGGGGAAAGGGAGGGATGATTTACTGCTCCCCATACAGCCACACAATGCCGTCTGCCTTTTCTCTAGTGATCAAAGTCTTCCCTACTCCAAGAAGTGGAACAGCTTTGGTAAACTCCACATCTTGTATCTTTCAAAGTCCAATTCAAATTACTTCCTTCAAGAAAGCATGCCTGGTACTAGAAACCTAAGCAAGTCCACCTAGCTAGTGAGGCCACAGATCTTACAGAAAAACCTACTACAACCACTGTACTAGACTACCATAACTCTTACTGCATTCTTAAGCTTCTCCTTCTACACACAGATACATGTTGCTTTCACCCCTCAACAAAAAAGGATTTCTTTGCAGCAAAAGACAAAGACTATTTAAACAAAAAAAAAAAAGGTCAAAATGCAGAGAACAATTCATTGTGGAGTGTCCAACTCTAATAGATATATCTACAACACAACCCCTGCACCTTCATCATTTGTTATTATTAGTTTTAAATTTTATCTGGTAATAGTGACATTAATCAACTTTAATAGTTCTTTGTATATGTGACTTCAGAGTTTATAATATTAAGAACTATCATGTGTGTACTTACATATTTTTATCTATGTTAAGAATGGATTTGTCTTTCAGAAGGAGTTACTAAAAAAATAGACATGGAAATTTACCTGACCTATATATAATTGTTTATAGTCAGAGAACACCTGAAAGCAGAAAGATTTGAAGATCTAGAGGACCAGGAAGTCTGCTGTGAGATTCTATCTCCTAGAAATGACAAGAAGGCTGTCTCCATGACACCTCAGCATTACGGCTACCTAAACGAGATCTGTACAATGACAACACCAACAGACATGCTAATGTGGACGGGGAAATCTCATAGAGCCTCGAAATAAAAAACTGTAAGCTAGGAATGACTGCTGACGGAGTGAGATTAGTCTTTCACAGTTATGAGCCCAATAACTGGTATTCAATACAAAACGTAAGCACATGTAAGCAACCCCAAGGTGCATTTATGTATTTATATGTATGTTGAAGTACATGTGTAACGTTAATAAAGAAGAAGTCATCAATTTGAAATGGAGTAAGTGGGTACATAGGAGGGATTGAAGGGAGGAAAGGGAAGGCAGAAATGATGTATTTATATTTTAAATAAAACTTAATTTTTTAAAAAAGTTACTTCCTTCAAAACGGCATATCCAAAATCACATACAAATTCCTTTAGAACTTATGGCTCATATTTATGCCCAGAAGGAGGTAGTTCTTTTAACATCCATGTCTGGTTGCCCCATGATGTTAAAAAGGCCCTTTTATACCTTTATTCTCTTCCTTGACAATCAAGGTATAGTAAACTCTGTGCCTTACACACAACTTATTAGTACAAAAAAATGATTTGGCACCAAGGAGTCATATGATAATAGCTTAAGGGTCAGCCACAACCAAAACCACGTCTGTATTTTAATGAGGAATTCTTCTGGAAGACTAAAAAGCCATTAATGCTAAAAGAAGGATGAAAATTTCAGGCATGAATAACAAAATGATAGAAACCAGTCTTTCACTGACCAAGTATAAAAACTTAAGCACTGATCAGAATGCAAAAAGTAGTCTTGATAAAAAAAATGAATTTGAACTAAGCACTAAAATGTAAATTTTAAGAATTAGTTTTGTTTTCTAGTGTCATTTCATTGCATCACACTTCCACTTATTTCCCTAGTTTTCCATCTATAAACTCATCAGCTGTGTCCTACTCATCGACCACAGATGAAGCGACAAGAATATAATCACAAGCGACACTCCCTCCTGCTCCTCCTCCCCTTCAGCCACGGTGCCAGCTTTCCATTCAGCACTGTTCTTCATGTTCCACTAGTCACAACTCTCAAAGTTGCCACATTCTGACATAAAAAAGATGACCTACATGATGTCCATTCTGTGGACACGTCCATCATGTCCAATCAGTTATCAAGCACAACTCAAATGGAAGAGAAGAAATTACTAGCTCTCTGACTTCTTTCATCCCCTCAACTATTTTCATGAGAAAGAAATTCCTGCTGTCTTTCTCTGTAAATTTAAAAGAGGTTCTAAAATACAAACTTAAAATAAACAGAGGAGGGAATGGCAAAGTGAAGTTTGTCCTGAGGGGTTATTAAAGATCAAATACTTCGTATCAATTAGCTCGGTCAGGCTGTGGATTTCAAAACGTAATTAAACTATCCCACAGCAAAGATCCACCGGCAGTGGATCAGAGACAGCTCAGGGGTTAAGAGCACTGGTTATTCTTCCAGAGGACCCAGGTTCAATCCCCAGTGCCCACATGGCAGCTCACAACTGTCTATAACTCCAATTCCAGGGAATCTGATACCCTCTTCTCCACAGGAGAGCATTTTTAAGTTTTACTTATTATTTATTTAATGGGTATGTATGTGTGTCTAAGTATATGTATGAGTGCCAGGTGTGCGCACTGCCAGATCCCCTAGAACTGTGAGCTGCCTGGTATGAATTCTGGGAACTAAACCCAGGTCCTCTGCAAGAACAGTCGAGTGCTTTTAACTAATTAGCCATTTCTCAGAGCCCTAGGAAACATTTTAAAAGGAGTCATTAAGATGGTCGACTACTTAATTCATTTTTATTCACTCAATAAATAATTACTGAGTGGCTCTGAAAAACCAACCAGTATTCTTATGAATAAAGAGATAAAAATTGCTGGCTTTAGCATCCTACAATTACCCTTAACTGTAAAATAAATAATTATTTATTTTATAAGTAACAGTATAACAGCTAATTTCAAGTGGTAGGATGCACACAGTTAACAAAAGAGAAGGCCTTTAATTCTGCATGGAGTCCAAAGGACGTGGCCAAAAGTAGTGAATGAGAAAGTGGGCACAAATGAATGGAAGGACTCATTCCTTGGGTTGCCCTGTTCTTTTGTTAGAGTGTTCTTCATTGCTGTTGCTTTTGAAGAACTGGGGGAAACACAGGGCTAGGCGTATGCTAGGCAAGTGACCTACCAGTGAACACGTCTCGGGTTCCCAGCTCCCCTGCTCCAGCGCTCCAGGTTTTCTTACTATGCAAATCCCCCCCACCCCCAGGGAGAAAAATGGTATGTATTCTGAAGCCAAATTGAAGTGAGCATGGGGGCCCTGGAATATAGATTAATTTATCCCAAGTTCTGCTATTCCAACATGGAAGCTGTTTCATAGTTTTATGGTAATAGAACAAAGAAATCTGTAAATCAAGGCATTTAAAAAAATACACTGGTGGATGTAGTTATATTTTAATTTAAAAAAAATTGGATGAAACATTAGACATGGGCTAGCCAGGCAGAAAAATCTCAACTATAGACCTCAGATATTATCTGATAGCATCCTTAGCCCACTGGTTGGTGGAGAGTAATGTTTTGTTAAGTTAGCAAATTCTAAACATTCAATTGACTCACATGTTACTGCTCTCTCGTGTTCACTTTCAAATCACTTTTTAGATTTAGGCTTTATTTGTCTTTTCAGAAGAAGATCAGTAAAGTCAAGGCACTGGTAGAAACTAGTATACAGGGCCAGAGAGATGGCTCAGCAGTTAAGAGCACTCACTGCTCTGCGCCTGGAATCCATCATCTTCTTCTGCCTCTGTGGGCACCCATAGGCAAATGGCATATAAACACACAGGCACAGACTCACATACATATCAATAAAAATTAAAAATAATAAACATTTAAAAATGAGCTCCATGTTCACTGCCTGACGTTCAGTGAAGAGCTGCCCCTGTACAGTCTGGCATTTTCAAGTGTGCAGTCCTTTTTCCAGACAAGGATTAGGTAGCAGAGAAACCAGAGGGGAGGAAAAGGCTGTTTTGTTTTGTTTTTAAAAAAGAAATATTTACAGAATGGTTTACACATTGCATTGTTGTAAAATTTTAAACCATGAGCATTTCAAGAGTAATTTAAAAATATTAGAATTTTTATACCACAAACTTTTATACCACTCATCTTAAATACATATTATATAAAAATTTCAAATAAATTTCAAAAACCTTAACTGTAGGTAGCACTCAGTCTAGGGTTCAATACAGAATGGACGTTCAATAAATACAGGTTGAGTAAAAAAGCAAACCCACAATTTAGGTATTCAGCATGTCAATCAAAATTATTCAATGGACTTTAATTCTTTACTTTTTTTCCACTGTTGAGGAAAGAGAGGAAGCCCTCAGTGAGTGAAACCCTAAGTAAATGTGTATTTTGACATGGGCATGGCCGGTACAGGACTCCATGAGCAACTGGCCTGTGGGAAACTGGCAAATCTTTCACTCTTATGGGCCAAACTCAAGAGGAATGGCAAAGTTTTCCTTGGCATCTACAAAGACGAGCAACTTCATCTTCCTCCTCCTGGATGTTTACAGCCTGAGACTGACGGCGCTACTACAGAGATCAATCAAGACTAGCAGCCCCTCCCCTTATACTGCACCCAAGAAACACCCTGAGGTCCGAGCTACGGGGGCAGCAGTAGCAGAACCCTCCAGGACCCCACATTCACTGGACATGTTTGTGCATCTGTCCTTCTTCCACCCCTCTACTGCATCCTACAGAAAGAACACCGCGTGCATCTCAGCCCAGTGCACCTTTCTGATGACACAGTTCAAAGTGGAATATGACCATTATTACAGTACTAGTCCATCCAACTCACACTGCATACAAGTTCTGCACCTACTAGTTTCAGTTTTTATAAGTCACTCTTTTAAGCAAGTTATTTATGAGCTCTCCTCATAGCAATACGTGTCTCAGTAGAAATTTGGTTGGAAGTTTCTGTTTGGTACAATATTTTCATCAGGCTAAAAGGAAAACATTGCAAAGTTAGCATCAGAATGCCAAGTGAAGAACACCAGAGGCTGAAGTACTGTGTAATGTGGATGAAGGCCTTAGGACTGGTCTGAGAAAACACAGCAATGCTCTTGCAAAGACAAACCTAGAGTTTTCATTCATCCCAACCCTCAACCACGGTTCAAATCTCACTCGAAAGGTCTACTTCCTAGTGCATTCTAATAGTTAATGCAGACATTAAGTAATAAAGAGATTATAGGGTTTTCATACTTACTGGTAAATGTTCAAGTAACGAAGTTACACTCTCAGATACATATATTATACTTCCATCTGTCATGATCGCTAAAAAAAAACCATCAAGAGCCTGAAATTAAACATAATGGTCAGTTAAGGAAAAAGAAAAATAGCATTTTACTGGAGAGAAACAGGAAAAATGATGGACTTATTGTAGAAGTGTTTAGAGTACAGTCAAAATGGCAGCTATTTTGCTATCAGTACCTTAGTATACTAATTTTTGTGCATCTTTAGATGTGTCTGAGGGAAAAACATCACTTTGGCTAGCTATTGGAAGCAGGTTTCTAAAGGTAATAAAATCACTGTTCTGCCTTTACAGCTGCATACATACACTACATGATAAACTATGTAGTACAGTACGGCTTATCTGGAGTTGGTCACATCTCATAAAGTACACACAGAGAGCTGTGAGCCGGAAGTATAGGAATATAATGAGAGGAACAGAACGAAAGGAGAAGAACAAATTAAGCCTCCCCAAACTAAGCTGAGGCATAATCATGTAAAGCCCAAACTCTTGGTAAAGGCATCTTTATTCTACACATAAAAGGAAGCCAACAGAAGGTTTTATATTGGGGCGGGGGCTGTGCTTCAATACTTGCAGTCTGGAAAAAATATATAAAACAAATTGGGTCAAGAAACATGCCTTGGGATAATCAAGAACTTAATGACACTGAATGAAATTAGCAGCAATAGGAAAAGAGAAGGATCAACCAAGTGCTAAGGATTACAAACATCTTCAGGACAGACGTTAGACACAAGATCCAGTGTGCTTTCATTTGACAACCGCAGGAACAGTAGTGGCCACTGAAATGCTAAGACCTTCAATAAAGAACGGGGCTGAAGACAAAGCTTGGAAGAATCACTGAAATATAAGTATGAAGAGAAAGAAAAGAACCAGAGAAACAGTAAAGGCAGAATCTGGTGTGGAAAAGCTGGACAAGGAAGAGGGATGGTACAGTGACAGCGGATAGGCCACAGAACCAGAAAACGAGCCAATTCAGTGATCTTTTTCCAAGAGCAACATCAACAGGAAGGCAAGTCAGTCACAACAAATTTAGAACAAGCTGACAAGAAGAGGCTCTCATAACTCATTCACAAACCTGACAAGAAAATAAGGGACGAAGGACAATTATTGTAAAGGGCTCACGTGCCAAAGGAACACTGAAAACCAAAAGAATAATAACACACAGAGTAACAAGTCCATTTGTAAGTTAAAGGAGAGAAGAAGCTGGTGGAGAAGCTTCAAGTGACTCAGTTAAACAGCTCTCTCGAAGAGTCACTAACTGCAATAGGAAGTGTGTGTGTGTGTGTGAGAGAGAGAGAGAGAGAGAGAGAGAGAGAGGAGAGAGGAGGAGAGAGGAGAGAGGAGGAGAGAGGAGAGAGGAGGAGAGAGGAGAGAGGAGAGAGGAGAGAGGAGAGAGGAGAGAGAGAGTCATCCTTGTGTCTGGGCACAGATGAACACACTTGGTACAAGTGGAAAGTGGGACAGACAGTACATAAAGGAAGAGACTGGGAGGGAAGAAAACCACGACAAACTGGGTTGTTTTTTGTTGTTGTTATGTATGTTGTTATGTGTGTGCTGGTGTGTGGGGTGTTTTGAGACAGCTTGTATAGCTTACACTGGCCTTGAACTCAGGTAAGCCACCATGCCCAATTTATTATTATCACTGCTGTCTGCAGTGCTAGGAAGTGAATGCAGGGCCTCGTGAATGTTCGGCCAAGTGCCCTACCATAAGGCTATGCCCCAGTCTCTAACTGTTGAAGGTACAGAAAAGGGTACCCCTCCCCATCTCTCCCCTACTAGGGGAGAGATATGGGTCCCAGAGAAAACTCATTTTGAATAGTTCCTTACTTTCCAAAACAACTCAAATTTATTTTTGAATAATGAGGGGGTTTAAAATCTTGAATTTAAGGCAACTCTTACAGTATTAACCCATTATGATTCAATCAGTAATTATTTGATTGCTACTGTGAATACAGTCAAATTGGTAAAGAAAGCAAACCTATGCTTTTTCATGTGAGAAGACTGTCAGCATTGAAAGCAAGTTATCTTTCACTGTGATGGTGAGTTCACTCTGTGAAGAACTGCTGGGAACTGTATGGGCTTCTTCTCTCTGCAGAGAATGGACTGAAATGAAGCGCTTCATCACCTAGGCCCACTCCTAGAGCCAAAGCCTGCTCTTTCCTCTTGTAAAGAAAAGTTTTAACTGTTTGCCAAGTCATGAAAATCTTTTGAGTAGAGGAAGAAAATTTCCTTGAGAAGAGTAATTAGAGAACTATGGAAGAATAAGGCAGAGAACGTCCCCATGTCATGATGGACAACTGTGAATTATCCCAGTCCTCTTACTGTATGAATAAAGGACAACTGTTCATTATTTAGAACACTGTCTTTCATCTGGGTATCTTCTTGGTAACAGTGATTATTTAGTCTGTGAAAGATGACAATGTCAGTTCTAGGGAAGAAGACAGGAGTTCCTTGTGGATCTTCAGCAAAGATGAAGCTAACACAGATTGCGAGCCCTTGTCTTGTAGACTACAAGGAAGACTATGAGCTGCCAAGGGGAAAACAGTATACAATCAGAGATAACTTTAACAGGATGACTTTGGAGAGAGAGAGAGAGAGAGAGAGAGAGAGAGAGAGAGAGAGAGAGAGAGAGAGAGAGAGAAGGAAGGGACAGAGTGAGTACAGTTGCATTCAAAGAATGGAGAGAGACAACAGAAGGAAGTATTAAGACCTAGATTCCAACTATGATATTAGTTAGCTTTTTGGGTGTAAACAAGCTTCAACTACTCTGGACATAGTCAGAAATGAACAAGCTCAGCTAAATGATCTAAAACTCCTGCACCAGCAACACTAACATGTTAAGTGGATGGTCTAAGCTCCTGTACCAGCAACACTAACATGTTAAGTGGATGGTCTAAGCTCCTATACCAGCAATGCTAACATGTTAAAATAATGCATACATCTGAAACTCAGCTGAAAACAGGGCAGACCTACTCTGCTACAATCTGATCAACATGACCACCTAAAAGTAACACAACTAACTACATCACAGTCTTGCCAGTCAGATAAACTTTACCCAAACAAAATTAGACTATTTTAATCAACAAATCCAATTCTAAGTTTATAATTAAAATTTTCCTATTCAATCAGAAAAAGGCAGACTTGAAGCATGTAAAATCACGTGTGCAAACATCTGGATTAAGGATATAAGATACACACCTATATACATACCCTTCATCTTGGCCTATTACTTTTTAGAAATACATTTACTCAGTACATACACAAAGTTTAAAATATTTGTGCTACCAATACAGCTCAGTGGGTAAAAGTGCTTGCTGCCAGGCCTGGCCACTTGAGTTTGATCTTCATAATCCACCTGTCAAAGGAGAGAGCCAACTCCCCCAAGCTGTCCTATGCCCTCCACACATGTGCTGGGGCAAGAATGGAACCACAGACAAATAAATAAATAAATAAATAAATAAATAAATAAATAAATAAATAAATAAATAAATAAATAAATAAATGTAATAAAAAATTAAAAGTATTCTTTACATATTAAAAGTAAATACAACATTGTTCAGCTATGTGAATCTAAAATCTGAGGACAATCATAAAGAATTAACTTACATTTTCAAATTTTTAATATATTTTCTCTGTTTTTATGTCATAGCATCACTATGTTTTTTTGTTTATTTTTTGTTTATTTTTCTTTGATATTTATCTATGTATGAAGTACATGTACTTTGGCAACTAATATAAAAGCTTCCTATTATGAAGAAAAAACTAAAGGTATTTAGCCTATTAGTAAAACATGTGCATTAAGATTATTAACAAAATACACAATTTTTGAGTTATAAGAAACTTTTCATGCCAATTAAAGCAAGCAGTTTATAACAAACACAGAAAAGCTTACTGAATGAAAAACTGCACTAGGATTATAAAATAATGATGAATGAGTCATTTTCTTTCTTGTTATTGAGACTGGCTTGTGTGTATCCTTTCTCAAACATATATTTAAAGATATATTTTTGTACAATGCCAAACTTCTTTTAAGAGGACAAAAGGTAAAATTAAAACTGTTCCTTGAGTTGTATGTCAACTGTACACTAAATGAGCTAATTTATCGTTTCAGAGCTACTGAACCTAATTGTGCACAGCCTCCTTGCACATCCCAGAAGCTTGTGTGACATGGGCAGCTTTCCTGACAACTCTGCTCCTGGATTTCCTTATCTCGAATACCTTTTTTTTTTTTTTTTAATTCATCTATTTATGTTACATCCTGGCCGCAGCTTTCCTCTGGCATCCTCCCCTCCACCCCCCCTCATCACCCAATCCCCTCCTCTCCTGTCTCCATCCAGGAAACAGCAGGTCGCCTATGAATATCAATAAAACATGGCCTATCAAGTTACAGTAGACTTAAGCTCCTCCCCATGCATTAAAGCTGGGCAAGGTGACCCAGTATGAGTAGGGTCTCAGAAGCCAGTAAAAGAGTTGCAGACAGCTCCTGTTCCCACTTCAAACACCTTCTTAAAGTAGGTTTGGGAATTGGATGAGTTAACAGAAGAAAAGTACCCTTCAGTTAAAGTATAGGTTTAAATGCTTATGCTACACATATCTCTAACAAATTTTAATAATTTCTGGTAAATATACAGATAGAGTTCACTAACTTTTACACCCCAAAGTATAATCAAATAAACAAGACATCCTCTTAGTGAAAAATGTTCTACCTTGCTTCAGACCCTAGTGAGTATAAAAAAGCCATTTGAGATGTAAGTATTATATATACATACATGGTACAGATAAATTCTTTATCTAACAATTTTATTTCTTACATCTATGATTTCTGCACATACTGCCCAGGCTAGCCATAATACCTGAGCCACCCTAAACACTCTGCCATATCCTCTTGAATACCGGGGTTAGTACTTTTATGATTTTTCTTATCACTGCTACCTACAAAGTAAACCACCTGTTTGCTATTTTAAGTTTCATGAAACTTGATACTAAATTCTGACAGTTTCTGTGCATAAATGATAACTTCATAATTCTATGCAGGAAAAGATAAAAGAATAGAAAAGTAAAGCTATTAGGTATGAATGTTCCAAAATTTATGTACATTATATATCTGACTGGGAGATGTTATATTCTACATACAAGCAAAAACTGTTCTAAATTATTTTTAAAAGCAACTCTGTAATACAAGAACATCTGCTCACTTCCTTTTAAAAGTTTCTACTTACAGAATGATTACCCTTTAACACATATTTTCATTTGAAAAACATCATTTATTACAATTTATGGGTATTTTAGGCAGATGTCTAGTAGGACTAAATGCTGTGTCCTACAAAATTAATATTGAAACCTAATTTCCCATTTTATTGTACTGGGGGGAAGTGGCTAGGAAGTGATTAAGTGGTAAAGATGAAATTAGTGTTCCCATCTAAGAGTTCTTGAGAGCTCCTATATAGCATGTCTTTCATGCCATGACACAGTAAGATCATCCATGAACTGGAATCAATAGCTCTCACCACATACCAAGCCCACTGGGGCCTCCTTACTGGACTGTCTGCCTCCAGGACTTCAGAAAATAAACTGCTGTTTACAAGCTCTGCAATCCATGCTATTATGGCACAGCAGTTCAACTGGAGTAAGACAGACACACTGATAGTATAGCATTTGCTGTGATAACACAGGCCATGCTTTGTCAGAATGTAGTGGGTGGGTGGTCTCAGGGTGAAGACTCAGGAGCTATAGGTTTCTGAACGATACGAAAGCGTCTCAAATTTTCAAATAATGAAAATAGGAAAACTTGGTATCACTCTACCCACATGGCATTATCTGCTTACAATATTTGATCAATACACTGATCAATTGTAATTATACATAAACAGAGCTTATGACATTTACACTGAATTAAGGCTTTTCAATTATTAATACTGCTAAAACTATACTAAAATTAACCACTGTTAAAATTCTAAAAAAAATAAAACTTTCAAAAATTAAATCTGGACATACCTCTAACATTAATTGTGTAAACTCTTCATTACTAAGGAATGTAGGTTTCCAGTCCTGTCGAATTTCACTAGCATCTGACTGTGCAGTGATTTCTGTAAACAGATGGACACATTAGCAGCATACTCTAACCACTGGGGGAGCACAAAACCTACAAGCTGTCTTCTCTTCCTACTCAATGATAAGAACAGGCAGTATTTACTGCTCTACCTAACAGGAGGCCAGGGTTTGAAAATGTGGAATGTTATTTTCTAGAACTTGGTCTGGATAATTTAGTATCAATTTCTTTGGGATTTTAATTGGAGGGCGGGGGGGGGGGTATGGCTTTGATATGCTCTATGATGAATAGGCCTAGGTCTGTTTCCAACTTGGCATAATTAGCAAATAAAAGCAAGCAGATTACAACAAGATTATTCCAAACATTGTGAAGAATGTTTACCTCGTCTTCTCCTTGCCATTCAAATGGTACTATCTTGAGTAGAGATAAGGGGTCAGCTCAGAGGAAAGGTGCCAATGGGGCCAGCCAGTCTGTTTTCAACAAAAAGGGCCTATTTTTGCCAGGTAAAAGCTTCCTCCTAATCTTAGGAGACTAAAGGAGGATTGGGGGCCAGAATTTCACAGTGACATTGCTTGCAGAGTGACTTGCTCAGTGTCTTCTTAACGTTCCTAACGATAGGGAGCTTGCCAAAGCTCTGGTGTCTCTGGCATGGCACACACATTTACCACATTACGTCTTCATTTTGCGACAGCAAATAGATTTAGTTATACGAATGTTATCATAAATAATGAAATCTGAACTATTTGCTGTTTAATCAATGTTTTCTTTTCTTTTTAGAACAAGGTCTTACTATGTATTTCAGGCTGGCTTCAAACTTACAACTCCTGCCTTAGCTTCCAAATGCTAGGTTGACAGGCAAACACCACCACGCCTCAACATTATCTTTCCATTTTAATACTACAACAATCACACAAATTAAAGACCAATGACAGGCTGTACTCTACCTCACTTTATAGTAAAAAGTATGGACTATATTGTTTTAATGTTTTGTTATCAGATATTTAAATATATCATATTTACATATCAAATTTGGCTGTTACAGATGACTATACTGAACTATGACAGGTAACTAAAAAGTATAGCTACTAATTCTGTGAAATACAGTCATACTCTTTAAATTGTTGTCAATTATATACACAATTATATACACAAATTTATTAAGGTTTAGTTAATACAGGTCTATGTTAGATGAATAAATACTTAAAAATTTACCACACATTTCATTTTTGTGAGAATTATACATTCAATGTTGTGAATAAAACCTAGTTAATGCCCAAATTAATGTTCTATTTTCAGGTGGTGGAAATGTATGCTTTTCACTTTATTTCATTCAACAATCATTTACTGAGCTCTACAATGTTTAAGGGACTGACTTCTATGAGTGTACCATGTGTACAAAGGGAGCTCTAATCAGCAAGGACACTATTTACAAAAAGGGTCAATGTAAGTGACTGAAACATTTACAAAAGAATCAGAAGAGAATGTGGCATGTGTGATAGGATGCTAAGATAAATGAAAACATTCCCAAAGGATCTCATGTTTGAGCCCTGGGAACCTAATCAAATGATATAAAAATGGAAGCGCCAGTTTAGGAGAAACTGACCTGACAAAATGAAAATGAATCCATTTTAGAGGAACTGAGTTTGGAGACATGGAAAGTGCTGCTCTCTATAAGTTAATTAGAAATACAAGGATGAAAATTCTGCATCTACAAACAAAGATTTATTAGTGGCTTTCTACAGACGCACAGCAGCTATAGTTACACAGTGAGTTACCACAGGAAAGAGGGGTGAGAAAACCAGATCAAAGGATAAGCCTTGAGGAACATCCCAGTGAGAGAGCCGAGAAGGGAAGAGGAGGGAGGCCAGACAGGAAGGGGCAGCAGAAGCAGAATGCGGATGCCATGGGAGAAGAGTCAGCAGCGGGCAGATCCGGATCACCAGGTAACTACCAAGAGTCAGGAAGAAGGAAACACTTCTGCTGTCCTGGGGATGGCTGGGCAGTGTCAGGAATGAAAGCACTTCAGAGAGGAGTGCAACAAAAAAGACTCCAGCAATGAGTGCAAGGGTGGCAGGAAACGAAACAGAGGTAGTAGTGAGCACCTGTCTTCCTAGGAAGTTCGCAGTCTTACCTCTCCTGGAAAAGCAAATATCCTTCTCTACTTTTTACACAGTTCAAATCTCCACTCCCTAACTACCAAACCCTTTAAAAGTGTTTTTTCCATGGATGATTAGTCAAGATGATTTTCTCCTATCAATAAATATTTTGGGGTATCATGTTTCTTTCCTAGGCGTACACTGAAATGACCTTTTAAAACGACCCCAAACTCAGACACATCCACAGCCCCCCAATACACACATGCTCAGCTACAGCCAAAGCTCCTGCTTTCCCACTTTTCCTCTGTGTAAAGCACTTTCACTTACTTAACCTAAGACTTAGTTTTAAAAAATTACCTATTTGTACACCTTGAAACATTCTTTCCTTTATGATAAAAAAAAAATTGTAAAATGTGTTTCCCGAGCTTATAGTTTACAAATATTACTCATTTGTATTTTAATGTGTTTACACACTTGTGATCTCTGGCTTGAGAGTCAAGAAAGTCATCCTAACTTCGTAAGGACCTAGAACACAGAAACCACTAAATAAATGCTTGTTGAATGAAAGAAAGAACATACTCGGAATCTTTTTTTTTTTTCTTATCTTAAGCATCATATAAGTCATTGTGTTCTAAGGGAGAGTCTGCTATAAAAACCATACTCATTTTACAAAGTCAGTATTTTACCTTTATGTTTGCGTAAAAAGTCAATGCTCTTCTGCAGAACAGTGGACTTGTCCATCTTTCTAGCATTACCAGGAAGCATAGATCCCAGCTCTTTAATGAGGACATTGAACTGATCTCTACGTTTCTTTTCAGATTTGTTTCTAGATACTCTATGAAAAAAGAAATTAAATATGTAGTTTTTAAACAATCAATTTAATTACACAAATAGTTTAATACAGTCTTCAATTTGGACATGACATATATTTCAGTTTACTTTCAAAAGGTCAGGAAATAATTGAATTTATAAACTGTATTCTGATCATCTACACTTTTCTACTCTGCTAACACATCTGAACACATGCAGGCATTACACATTTATTCACTATTTTCTAGTTCATGGCTCACTACCTTTTTGCTTTGTCCTTGTCATCTTCTTCCACCAATCCATCAAAAATACTACTGTCATCTCTACAAGAGAAAACAAAGGGAAAAGACTAAGAGAACTCAGTAAGCACCACCATCAAAGCAACAGGGGATCCACTCAGACTGACCCACTTCCTAGGTGAAGAGATCATATAAATACAAGCTCAGGAAGCACAAACTGATTTTCTAGTAAAGTTCAATTACATTTAGTTACATTTTAAGTTTTTCACATATGAATTTTTATAAGCAGTTATACTCAACTATATGTATGTATTAGGGTAAACAAGAATTTATCTAGTTTAAATATTCTATTTCAAAACTTTAATATCTACTGAAAACCTATCAAATGCCAGTATAAAATGACATCATCATTGTATTAAACTACCCACCTGGAATTATATTATCTACAATATCTTAACTTTAAAACCTTCTGAGATAGTCACTTTTAAAAACACCACTATTCATAAACATCCAATCACTAGCTATGAACTTAGTCTTTTTGACCCATTTACCAGATACTGAGTAGTACTCAGGTATCAGGTTGTGTTCTAGATCTTACAGAATAGTAAACAGGACTAAGAGCTGCTCTCTTCTAGTTTATCTTCTAGTAGAAAGAACACGCATGAAAATGTGTAGCAACAGGTCTTAGTTCTAAAGGACCCATGGTGTGGTAGTTTGAAGGCGACTGACCCCCACCCCCAAAGCTCATGGACTGGAATGCTTGGTCCTCAGTTAGTAGAACTGTTTGGTAGATTAGAAGGTGTGGCCTTTTTGAAGGACGTGTGTCCCTAGGAGTGGGCGCTGAGGTTTCAAAAGCCCCTGACATTCCTAGTTAGCTCACTCTCATTCTCTCTCTCTCTCTCCTCTTCCATGGTTGCTAGGTCACCATGTCAGCTCCCAGCTCCTGCTCCAGTGAGATGCTGCCCACCCACTGTCATGTTCTCTGCTGTGATAGGCATGGTCTCTATCACAAACATGAGCCCCACATTAAATGCTTATAAGTCACTTTGGTCATGGTGTTTTGTCATGGCAACAGAAAACCAACTTAGCAACCCTGGGTGGTTAGGGAAGGACTGGTAGAATTGAGAACATTGAGTGAGGATTTAAGTGACAAGATGGGCACAACTGGAGATCTGGAGCAAAAGTCCAACAAATTACATCAAGAGACTCTTAAAACTAAGGAGTGATATCCAAGTTTCTGGTGGTTGGTGAGCTTATACATGAATCCACCAGTCACACCATTCAGCCAAATCCTGCTGTGGCTTGTGAAGATCAATAGTCACTGAAGCATCTATTAGCCTCATTTTGAGGTTAGTTGTGAGTTGTGTTTCATGGAGGCTCATGAATAGACTTGAAAAAGTCCATTTAAGCCTAGGAACTTATTTTAAAACTCCGACATTAATATACATTTTTCTGATGATGGAGTCTATAAATTTTATAATATTCAGATGTAAGGAATCCATATTAATAATCACTACTTTATCTCTGTACACACAGATGACATCTCAGATGTCATAAAGTGTAGAAAAGGAATTGAACACCACTCATCTGCACTCCTTTTAGATGACTGGCATGTCTTTTCAAGGAGGAGACTACACCTGTAATCCAAAGCTATGGCCATAGTGAAGGCAAATCTAAGGACAGTCCTTGTCCTTAAGTCTTATGCTCTGGTACAAGATATGTCTTTGTTCTTTAGTTCAAAAAAGAAGAAAAGTTGCCTTCAGATATCAACAGCCACTCTGTACAACTCTATTTGCAAAATCCTTAAAAAAAAATGGAGTCATCATACAGTAAATTATAATGTAACCATAATTAAATAAGCTGGCTAATTCCTGACCTGTATCTATAAAACCTTGAGGATCTAAACAATTCAATGAAATAATAAAAAGATTCTGTTCACCAGCTCTAGACACTATTTGCCTTAAGATTAACCTTTATGTGCCAGGGAAGGAGGGAGGGAGCGAAGGATGGAGAAAAGCAGACACAAAATACAGTCTGAGAAGTGAATTTGAAGACCATCAAATGTTAGAGATGTTAAAGTGTGAAAACAACAACTGTAACAAAACAACCTTAAGAGTCTTAGAAACAAGGCTCGAGAGGTAGCTCAGTAGTAAAGCACTTGACTATATACTAGTATACTGACATAAGCACTTGACTAT